AAATCATTTTTTCTAGTAAATACATGTCCATGTTTTTATAAAGTAATAAAATTGTACTTTTTCCTACTTTTTTCCTCTTAAGTGCTTTTATTTAAAAAAGGGCGTTGAAAATCAAAAAAATGCTCCTTTCAAAGTACAATCTAGATTTTTTGAAATTTCATAAAAGTTGCTACACTTAAAAATCGTAGCAAATTAAGAAAAAATGTGTTCACATACTAGAAAAAACAAATAAACATCTTATTAAAACCAATAGCTCCCTCGCTACTATTATACTCCTCGTTACTTAGTGTTAAGAAATAAATAAAAAGGATAGAAATTCAGTACATATTATTTTAAAACAAAAAAAACATGTTAACCAGATGCCCCAGGTACCATATTTCTTTTTTTAAATTTTTAATCAATGAAGGTAATTGGAAAATGTATTTGTTTAGTTTTGATAATAAATCCAATAAGTGTAAGAGGATGTTTATCTACACCTGAATAATTTAAATGCTTACAGATAGTTGAAATGAAAAATAATAGGTAATAATTTTAAACTTATTTAAATAATATATATTTTTTCAAAGAAAATATTCAAAACTGTGTGGGAATTTGTAATGCAAATCACGTTTAATGAACACTGAAAAAAAATTAATTAAGGTGAGCCTCAGAGCAAAATAAAAATGTTTAAATCACATATAGAAATTAAATGGGAACCTTAGGTAGGTCTCGTAAAATGTGTGCTTTTAAAAGTGGATAGTGAGTCAAAAAAGGTTAAAAACCACTGGATTAGAATACATTATTATTCAGTATTTAAAACAACATATAGGTTAGTAATTTTTTTAAATTTAACTAATTAACTTTAATGCTATTAATAAAAGTAAATTTTCAATTTATGTAATATATAATTTCTACTTAATTAGTACACATCTTTAAAAACCATTCTATTTAAAATATTAATTTCACAATTTACTCATGCTAAATTATAACAAACAACATAGATTTGAATATATAATACATTTAAATTTAATAGTACATGTTAATAAATAATAATGGTACACACATAAAATACATTTCAAATTGAAATTTATATTGAGTAACAATAATTTTTATTCAATTCACTATTAACTAAATAATATTTAATACTCTTTACATGTAACATTTACATTATGCCTATAAGTAATGAAATAATATCTAATTAGTAATAAAAACTAGATATTTAATAAGTTTGTTAAATTGAAAAAAAAAACAGCTGCATTAAATAATTTCTTTCATAATAAAATGTATTATATAATGTTATACAGTAGGATAAAATTAAGCATACAAAAACATAAATATAGGTCAGATCTCTTAAATTTTTTTTTAATTGAATGTATATTAATAATTTTAACAAAACTGTTCATGTTATAAAAGTAACAAAGTGGTTGAAAAAATTAATACTAAATTATGCAAATGGTGGTATAGATAAAAAAATCAGTCTTTAAAAATTATTTAATAGATATTATAAATATTGTTCATTAATTATTGTGAATTGAGTCATAACAAAAAAAATATCTTAGTAGTTCAAAAAAAAAAAAATCACTGTTAGTATTTTTTTAACATCAAATGGTTTAAATATAAAAGATATAATAAAATCTACTTATTAAAATTGACTTTCATGTAACACAAACTACAATGACAATAAAAAATAATAGTCTTTTAATAGAATATAGTGGGAGCAAATTTTGTTTAAAATATATTTTTATTTTGTATTCTGAATAAATTACTAACACAAAATTGGCGATTAGAATACTTTTGTAATAAAGTGAATTCTACAATAATCTTTTTTTTTCTAAAAAAATTATTTGAACACCTTAATTAATTAAAATTAATATTAAGAATTGAAATACAATTGACATTTTGTTTTTTTAATACAATTTTTCAATTATGATTTAAATTCTAAAATATTAAATATATCAACTTAATGTTAACACTAATAATAAATGTAGATTCTACTGATTATAGTTAATGTTTTAGAATGTATCAAATTTTTGGAGGGAATAAAATGCAATAGTTAGATTAAAATTTGAATAAAACCAATATAGAAGTCAAATAATGTAAAAATTCAATTTTTTTTTTTTTTTTTTTAATTGTGTGTACCATTTTGTTTTTATACAAAATTTTTTTTTTAATCTATCATCAATTCAAAATGAACAGATCCTCTATTAATACCATTTACTTTGTGAACAATATTTTTTGCCCAAGCTCTGCACAATATATTAATCACAATACTCTCTAAAGTAAGAAAACAAAATATGAATTAATTACTTTCATAGCTAGTTGTTCAAATTTATTTTATTTGTTGTATAACTTACTAGCTGGTCTTTTGAAATGAATTGCAACCAATGGACTAAGATAGCCTTCAGAGTTTTCAAATGGGAAAAAATAACCAGGAAATCCTGGAATTGGCCAATATGACATAGGCCCAATAAGTTCTTTGTCAGAAACAGTTTCTCCTTCACATGACACCCAAACAGTTCTCAACTGAAGAAAAAATTTAATTAGCAGTTTCGAAATGATAATCTTGTTATTGTAAAAATAGTATATACACAAATATATTTTGATTTAATAATTACAAATTTGCTTAAAAATAAATACAAATTATTTAAAATACTAACCTCATCAGGATTGGTTATATTTTTAATATGGTCTTTTAAACTGTGAGGCATATCGTGAGGAAGTTCATCTGGCTTATCATAAAATATTGGATTCCAACCATAAATCTAAAATTATCAATGTAAATTAAGACACAAAGTCTATATAATAAAGTTAATAAAATTATTTTTACTAAGTAAAAATGAAAATCACTTATATTTTGGATTTTCAAGTCCATCAATTAATCATTTAGTAACTTATATTATAAACAAGGTAATTATTTTAAGGTACATATAAAGATAAATTTTATTTAAATTTATGTTACACTTTCTGAATTTCAATACAATAAAATAACATTCAGAGATTTCTTTTTTTTGGAAAATTTAATTATTTGTTAGTCAGGTATGATGTACTTAAAAAAATAAATTGTACGGCAATATTCCTTGCAAAATACAATATTACTCAAAAAAATATGTGTCAAACAACTTTTTCAATTACAGCCATATCAGGAAATACACAATGTCAACAATTGTGCAAAAATTATGTAACATATTGATTTCTATGAAGATTTAGCAAGAAATATCAATTTTATAATTTAAACTTGTGCAAATATTCTTTGAGCAAATGTACATCTCCAAATTTTAAAGGTAGACAAATGTTAGATATTTTGAAACCAAACAGCTTCAATGCATTAGCTACAAAATTGCTAATAATTGGGTTAGTGTCAAAGCTCGGTGTTGTTAACTTTGTTAGTTATAAAACGTGATGTATTTTCAAATTATTTTTGTTTAAAAAGATTTTGATATTAACAAATAAAAATGGTGATTTTCATTTAAAGTAAATAATGCATTAGTGTTTAAATTCACAATTTACAACCAATAGAAGTATTGGGTACATTTAGGTAATAGTATACAAAACATACAAAATTTAAATGATATGTATAGTTTGGTACTAACCATTTATAGGACTAACAAATTTTGTTTTCAATTTCCCTAATTGACCTTACATATTAAAATTTTATTTTAAAGCTTTTGAGCTTACCTTATTCAATTTAAGAAAAATGCATGGGGCTTGACGATCAAAATAGAAACGATGTTCTTCAGTGCACATATCAAATGCTTTTACATCTACATCACAAACTTTTCCTTTTCCTGGAGGTTTATCATAGTTACAAGTCGCAATATTTTGTCCTCTTCCTGGTGTTAAACCTGGTTTTTTGTAAACTAAAATATTTGAAAAATAATTAGGTAAAAAATGAGTTTATAAAAAATATTAAACCAAAACTAATTTACCATCTAAAAATTCAATAAGTCTTTGCATCCACACTGAATACTCTTGAACTGATTTGCTATTAATATGAATCAAAGTACTATGAGTTTCATTAGACATGGGTCGAAATCCCAAACCTAAAACATGTTAATATAAGTACTCACTTTAATATTATATTTGTATAATTTTAGATTTGATAAAAGTACCTGGATTTGTTCCAATTAATGACTGTTCTAGCTGTCTGGTTGGAGTACGTGGATCGAGGGTTTGAAAGAAAACCCATAAGACTACCGCAAACATGGCGACAAGTGTTATATAGAATGCAGTGTAAAATAATCCAATTTGAACTTGATGGAAAAATATGAACAAATACATTAACATATAAACATTCATGCAAAACTATCTCCAATTTTTCTATTTTTATAATTATTCTAATTAATTTATCTACAAAATATAATAAACAAAGAGTAAGTGAGAAAAATGGTAGTAGAGTATTTCTGTAAATTTTTCAGGAGAATAAAAACAAAGTTTATTAATTTAAAATTTATAATTATGGTTATGAAAATAAAATAAACAATAATATTTCATATATAATAACACTACAGTATTCTGTATTATTATTGTAGTAGGAACAACAAATAACGAAATAAAAATATGAATTCTGGAATTCGACTATAACCTGTTTTCCTCACAACTGCATAGACTACAATCTTTCTTCACTAATACACCTAATCTTATCCCTTTAATATTGAAACTAAAATAAAACCTTTTTTTGCTAAACCAATTTCAACACTCAGTACTGCTTCTAATGTGATATCAAACCAAAATTTAAAAAAATGGACTACTACCGTTTTTCTCCTGTACCCTTCAAATATTTTTCTAATGCTATAGAAAACGTCAAGTTAGTATAGCAAAATCTGCCCTGTTATTTCATAATTTATTTGCCACATATTATGTCGTAAGTAGCATGCCTAGCTAAATATGTACTTTTTACTGAGCCATATTGTATTTGATTTAATATTTATTTTAGAAATTAAAATAAATTTTTTAACTATTAAGGAATTAAGCAATGAGTGTTTATAGATAAAAGTTTAAAAAAGCAAAATATTCACTAGCGACAAGCCCAACAATTGTTTATTTCTAGAGAACCTTAGGTATGTGTTCGGAAAACGTTTTATAACTGGAAGGTCATTTCTTATTATCCTAATATAGATACAATACCCATTTCATGGATTAACAACTTCTATAATATTTGTACCAACACGCAACAACTCACCCCAACTGGATGGCTTACGGCCGAATATTTCCCCAGTGTCTTTGTCATATGCGTACAAGACGAGTCTTTTGGACAGCGGCAGTTTGCGTTTGTCTGTGTCAAAGCCGAACGTTGTTTTGCTGCCGTAATTCATTTTGTTTTTAACCTAGACTAGGCGCGCAGAAAAACTCCAGACCTTATCCAAGTATTGAATAAACAATAATAATGTCAACACTTCAACAGGCGGAATTGGCAGACACTTTAAACGGAGGCAATCGATAGTAATTTGTTTGTTAGGCATTGTTATCACTAGGGCGTTTCTCAGCGGCGCTCAGACGCTCAAAAATTGATTCGCTTCTTTGTTACTGTCTGATACTTCAAAGAGGATAAAAAAAATTTCTATCACCCGAACATATCTTCGTCGGACTGCTACGCCCTTCTTAAGCACTTAATAATGTAAGTGGGCGAGAATTGCAAGGAAGTTTCAATAGAAATGGTCCTTCATACGGAAAATTGTGCAGGATGTTAATATCATAGAGTAATAATGTTAATATATAACGCGACTGGGTTTCTAAAAACGGTTCTTATCATTTTTCGTACAAGTGCCATTCACACTGTCTAATTGTACCTATTATGTGATAAGTACTAGGTAAACAAACAAATTATTATTTCTAAAATTTGGTAACAGCAAAGTAAATTATTACATTATTTAAGTATATAATTAATTTTTTTTGTTATGTGTGGACGTGGTAATATTGTAATAAATTCTGTCGGTTCGACCGGAAAGATACGATTGCTACGAAAGTCAACTGCTACGAAATTGCACTACTCCGTCGTAGCAATTGCATTCAACAACAAATGTTTCATTACAGCAGTGTTCTCAAACTCATATTATTTACGGGCCATATATTTTTTCAAAAAATGTTCGATGGCCAAATTTTAACTGTTTTCTTTTTTACTTATACGCTATAAACTGAAAATGTACATGAATGACAAAATGAAGTTGAAGATACATACAAAATCCATTTATCTAAAATATTTTAAATGACTTAATATATTATGAAATTACTTTTATTATAATTACTATTATATTTACTATTACTAAAATTATTTAAAAAAATATAAACAAAGTAGTTGTTTATTTCACTTATTATTACTACAAAATTATAATTGAAAAAATGTGATGAACATTAACTTTAAAAAATAATTAGAATGAAAATCTAATAATATCTTGATTATTTGTTTATTTTTATTTTTGAGCTGCACTTTAAACTTGACATCTTTTCTTTTGTACCAAGCTGTCTATATTTGCACAAGAATTTCTTGATGTCAAATGTAAAACAGATTGTAATTTGACATTTGAAATTTGATTGCGACCTTTCGATTTGTTTAATTTCATGAGAGAAAATAATTGTTCACATACATAAGAGCTACCGAACATGGATAAAATGTTAGAAAAGTGTTTCTTTAGTTTTAGATAACTGTCTCCAAGATATTTAAAAATTTCTGGAACTCCAACAGCTTCAAACTTTGATTTTAAAACAGAATTATAATGCAAATCAATTAACTCGAGTTGTAAATCTTCCCTCACATGCTCTGCATTTATAGAAAATGGCTTACTAAAAATTAGAAAATCATCTTTATACTTTTGAAAATCTAAATCTCTTCATAAATTCATTTTTTAGTAATAAAATGTGTGAAATGTATTTTTTACTATCATTACTATTTGTGGATAATTGTTTTAATGTAGGAAAGTGTACCAAGTTATTTAATGAAAGTTGAGTTTCCCATAATCGAAGTTTCATAGTAAATAAATTAATTGAATTGTACATATTTGTGATAACTTTGTTTTTTTCTTGTAATTGTAGGTTGAGAATATTTAAATGTGTAGTAATATCAACAAGGAAAGCTGAATCTTTAATCTAATCATTATTAGTTAATTCTGAAACAAACTTATTTTTAGATTTCACAAAACAGTCTATTTCATTTAATAAATTGAAAAATCTTTGTAAAACTGCTCCACGACTTAACCATCTTATCTCACTGTAATATAGTAAACAACCATACTGAGCATCCATTTCATTGAGTAGTGTACTAAATTGTCTATGACTCAATGCACGGGATCTAATCAAATTCACTGTTTTAATAACTATATCCATAACATGTTCCATTTTAATTTTTTTTGAACATAAAGATTCTTGGTGGATTATAAAATGAAGACTTTTCAAATCTACATTATAAGTTATAGCTTTTGATTTATAAAACAATTTTGTTTGATGCGAGTTTTTTTTTTAATTCTTCAAATTTTTCTTCGCGTAATTTTCCTACAAATTTATCGTAAATCTTACCATGATTTGCGCCATAATGTCTTTTAATGTTGTACTCCTTCATGGCACATACACTTTGTTTACAGATCAAATATATTGGAAGAGAAATAGAATTAGTAAAAAAGTATGCATGGCCCCAATTTTCTTGAAAAGCCCGTCTTTCTTGGTCAATTTTACGTTTCATCGGTTTGATATGAGACACTTAAATAGCAACTAGTTACTAATATTGCACTTACGCCGAAATACAAATTATATTTATCTCTGTAGATTAGATTTACTGAATTTCAAATACTTTATCGAGTATAATGGGATTTATAAACGATTAATGTAAAAATAAAAAATGATGGACATCAGATAATATTCTATGTATTTATGATGCCTAAAATAAAATTAACGTTTTTCTAATTTTTTCGTATATTTTTGTTCAAAATTTATTTTTATTGCGGGCCACATGGAAAGGGCCGTATGTTTGAGACCACTGCATTACAGCTTAATTTTTGGCTACTTTATCACTCAATAGTTAAATCACAGATTCAAGGTGGATTTTTTCATCTTGCACAGGTGGTTATATCCATGAACATATATACTCAATATAACCACAGATATCAACGGTGTATTATCACCTTGCACAGATATATATAAAAACTAGATAGCCGACTCCCTATACAACAATCGGGTAGCTACAACTGCCACGAAACTACGAAAGTTTACTGCTATTCTTATATATTACATCATACATATAACTTCGAATAATAACTGTTACGAATGTGTATTACTCCAAAATAAAATTAAACTTGATAAATACTGCTACGAAAGGCAATGACTCCGAATTGATTTATCTGTAATGACGTAACCTTGCTTAGGTGTTACGACTATGCTTTAAGATCATAATATACTATTCCTGTTATTACATTGATCATTTTTTAAAAAGCCATAACACACTATTTTTACTTTAATTTTGTCATAAATAAATCAATCATCTCATCGTTAAGTTTTAATCATACTATACATAAGACGATCATGTACACTTATTCATCTTGTACATTAAGTCATTTTTCAATCCATAAAATACTTCTTTTATGTGCTTTGTTTAGCCTTAGAAAAAACACTAAAAATGTATTTATTTACAAAACAGATATTCAGAAGTCGATCAAATTTTTTACGAGTTACAATAGCGTTTACTATAAATGGATTGAATCAGGATATCATCAAAACTATCCTTTCTCTGTTCATTTTTTCAATTTGTCTTGCTAGTAAGTTTTAAAAATAACACTTCTTTGTTATAGTGTTTGCTGAGACTTCATCATGTATACCTAATTATTATACATAATATACTTAATTACAAACTATATATTATTTTTGTACTTGTAAATTGTGATAAATATCTACTTAATGGATACTATTGATTTAAAGTGAAAGGAAATCGGGCTGGAGAGGTATTTTAGGGAGGTAATTTTTTTTATTTTCTCAATACATTGAAAAAAAAAACGAAGGAAATATAGAAAAGTATACGAAATGTAGGAAGGTATTAATTTAAAAAAATTATGGTCTTTTTTTTCCCCTGCGATTCAACTTTTCTACCAAAAATTTTGATTCGATTTACAATGATAGCAATTTTTCAGATAGAAAATTTTACTGGGGAGGTACTTTAGAAAGATTATTTGTCGGTTCTTATATATTCAGTTTATATATTGAAAAAACCAGAAAAAACGGGAGAACTAGATAATAGGTGCAATATTAAACAAATATTATTAAAGTAAATGTTTAATGCATAGGTGAATTATTTTACCATAATGTGATGTATTATATTGTTGATAAAGTAACACTATTAACTGAACTCCGCTCAAAATTGTTTTTTCACTTGCAATGGTTTACCATTTCTTATATACATAAAATTCCAGTCTATATCCTACCTTCCCAGCTACAATAGTGGCTGCACCCACATGCAAAATACCTTGGTATATCAGTTTTATTTTTATCCTACTTTTATTAAAATATTTGACCAAAATTTATGGTTTAGTCTAAATAAGAATGTATCACATTAAAATTAAATTATCTTTATTTTTTAATTCAAGTATTTGATATTACCTATCTAATTAATTTGTACCTCACAACCATTTTAAATTAGGTATCTCTACTCTTAATTAAGTAAATTACGTAAACTTAATTAAGTAAATTATGTAAAATTAATTAAGTAAAACACGGATATGATTCATTAATGGTATTATTACTTTAAAGTATTGGTAGAGTTCATAACAAAATAACTATTATCTATAAAGCATTCAGTACCTATGATTCAATAAGATATATCTTTAATCGTGTTTATAAGTAATGGTCGTAGCAGCGGCTTGTACACCAAAACCAACACTGACCCACCGGGTTAAGTTATTATGGTCAGATCATAATAACTTTACTATTGTTTTTTAGTATTTATGAACAAGTTAATAAAAAAATACCAGATAAATACATCATACACTACTGTGTAGGTAGGAAGTTGAAAAGATAGGATACATAGTTTTGTAATTTATATCTGAAGCAACGATTTATTTAGTAACCATAAACCATTGGAAGCGTGATGGACCCATAAGCCAGAGGTCTGTGCATCGTAACCACGCTCTGCTACCAAATGATGCCCTCTAAGCCTTGTTACACTAATTTGCACCCCTTTTTGATGTAGTTGGTCACCTTACTTTCTTTCTCCTATTCAGATACCAATTACTTCTATTATAGACTGAGTAGGCAACTTAAATTACCTAAATGCCAGGTACATGGATAGGTAATTAAATAAACATATGCAGATCAAATAGATAATACGTTATACATTCTACATAGATGTTTATACTTAAATGCTTTATTTGCATAAAATATGTTATTAAATATAAATAAATAAATCCAAAATGTGGTCAAAAATAGACATTTTTTTGTTATATTTAATTATTGTATTACAAAAAATATATAATTATTTATTATATTTATTTGTAGTAATTGATATTTTGATAATAAAGATTTTTTATTGAAGTTAGAAAAAGTCTACTGGGCTTAATTTTAGTTACAAATGTTCAAATGTGCCATGCTGTGCTGTGCTCACTTAGACAATTTTAATCGAAAATACCATAGAGAGTGATCATATTGAGTTTCTCAATCCATTTATAATGCTTTTCAATATATACAATATGCATAATAAACAATTGTATAAAACAAAAGCATTTTCCTGTTACATATTAAAATCTATTAATACTAATTGAAAATAGTAGGATAATTGGATTAACTTAATACAATTTGAAATATTAAACCTGTTGTAATAAAACACGAGAAAAAAGGTTTAGATCTAAAATATGAAAATCTACTAATATCAATTAAAATTAGTAAGATAATTAAATTAACTTCATTAAGTATTATTGAAAATAAAACTAAAAATTAAGATACTTAAATAAACCTAGAAAATCTTAAAAGTAGTAATATATAAAGCATGTATAATAAACAATTGTATAAAACAAAAGCATTTTCCTGTTACATATTAAAATCTATTAATACTAATTGAAAATAGTAGGATAATTGAATTAACTTAATACAATTTGAAATATTAAACCTGTTGTAATAAAACACGAGAAAAAAGGTTTAGATCTAAAATATAAAAATCTACTAATATCAATTAAAATTAGTAAGATAATTAAATTAACTTCATTAAGTAATATTGAAAAATAAAACTAAAAATTAAGATAATTAAATAAACCTAGAAAATCTTAAAAGTAGTAATATTCTTAAAAGTAGTAATATATAAAGCATGCATAATAAATAATTGTATAGAACAAAATAATTGTATAGAACAAAAGCATTTTCCTGTTACATATTAAAATCTATTAATACTAATTGAAAATAGTAGGATAATTGGATTAACTTAATACAATTTGAAATATTAAACCTGTTGTAATAAAACACGAGAAAAAAGGTTTAGATCTAAAATATGAAAATCTACTAATATCAATTAAAATTAGTAAGATAATTAAATTAACTTCATTAAGTAATATTGAAAAATAAAACTAAAAATTAAGATACTTAAATAAACCTAGAAAATCTTAAAAGTAGTAATATATATAGCATGCATAATAAATAATTGTTAATCATTTGATGCTAGGCAATTTAATCAACCCTGGGTCTTTTTGGTTGTCTTGATGGAAATTCCCCTAGAGAATAAAAAATTTAACATTAAAGTATTTAATTTTTTAATTTTTTAAATATAACCTACTCATATCTGAGAGCTGATTTATTTTTTCAACATCTTCACCAAGAATTTTTGCTATAACTTCATTTTCAATTACAACAGATGTACTTGGAGTACCATGTCCTCCACGACGACGTACTGCTGGTTTTTTATTTATGATTTCCGGTAAAAGCTTGTTAAGGTCAACTTTGTTTAACAATTCAGGCTTAGTCTCTTTTAGTTCATTTATTATTAATCTGGCTGCAGCTTCAATCACAGCAACATGTATTAAATTTTCATCAGTATATAATGGGCACCTAATAAATAATAAATTATGCATAATACGATAAGTTAATTTTAGTTTTGTTTTAAATGTGCACAACTTACCTATCAGGTATTGGACCCAAGTGATAAAAATGGTCGTAAAATCCACTGAGAATATTTTTACAAATATAACAGATATGAGTCCCACAAGTACATACTATTCTATTACAGCCTGATTCCTTTAAAAACTTATTACCACAAGTTGGGCAAACTCTATTTACATTAAAAAAAACATATTACTGATAACAAATTTGTCTCAGAAAACAGTGATTTGTAAATTTAAAAAATAAAATGGATTACCAATGGGTAAGTTGGTTACCTGATGAGTACTGCAGACATTTTGTTTTCAATCATAGTTCTAATTTGTAACTCCGGTGTTTTTTCAATTTCATTACATTTCAATGGAACGTGATTCTCTTCTCTGCAAATTCTAGATATTTTTATGTTTAGAATTATTACGGATACCATATTATACATTTATACTACTATACGATTAACATAATTATTTCTAACTTATCAACAAAATAAAGATACAATTTTCTTTTAAATCAAACAATTAGCAATTATTACACTTTTTTACAAGTACTTATTATGGAATTATTATTATTAGTAATTTAATATGTATTATATTATTAAAATTGAATTATGAAAAAAAAAGTCTAGTATTATCAGGTTTTTTTGCATTGTTTAAATAATATATTTTTACTTGTGAAAATATGTGAACTTGTCAATTCCAATACCATTAATTTATTTAAAACTCTGATCTAGAAGGGTTTAAAGTTAATACAAATAAAGCCATAAATGAAATTTTTAAAATTTTTAAATCACTCTTTAATGTTACTCAATCACTAAAATGTATTAAAAATAATTTCATATCATTTTTGCACAAAAAAGTAAATGTACTCATTTGAATTATAAAAGTTGACCCCCAAAACCACCATAAAAAAAAGACTAAAAAGAAAGGAAACCATACAATATAAATATTTATAAATCAAAACACTTTTTTATTATTTATTTTATTATATATCTAAATTCACTCTAGGCAGTTTTTTAGTTTTGTAACTGTCCTTGTATAATCAATCTCATTATTGTATTTAAAAATTAATCATCTACATTACTACAAAATTAAATATTTTTAAACATAACATACATAAAAATGTCAATGACCTGTTGAAAGTTACATCTCATAAGTATAGTTATAAAAATATATACTGACCTACAGATTTCTTTACCACATTCTGGATTTAAGCAACTAAAGATTTTGAGATCCTGGGATACAATGGCAGAATAATCACAAAATGCACAAGTCTCGAGACCTTCAATATTGGCTGCTTTAATATCTTCTGCTTGCTTTAATCTTAATAACCGTGCATATAGTTTTTCATCGACTATTTCCTGAAATATAAATATTTGAATATTAAATATCTTAATATATAAATCATAAGTAATAAAGAAAACTCACCTTTAGCATCTCTAAATGGAAATTTTCAGTACAAGTAGCCAGGCATTGAAATTCTAGTTTTTTTAAACCAACCTCTATTTCTACAAACCTAACAATTAATAATTAATGAAATAAAAATATAAAAAAGTTAAAATTGTATTTATGTAGATATATAACACAACCATTTCAAAAATTACTTTTTAATGCATTCCAAACAAAATGAATGACCCTTTGGACAGCAACTTACTTCATCCTGTAGAAGGTCAGTTGCATAACAACATTCACATTTATATAATAAATCCATTTCCATGGCCTATAAAAATATATACATATTACATAAAATAAATTAGTCAAAATTATAGATAAAAAAATATGTATAACATAAATTAGAGAGATTGATATCAAGTATAAATATATTTACTTTTTCAACTTCACTAACTCTCAAATAGTAATCAGTTTCTATATGAAATTGAACAGCTTCTCTATTTTCAACATATGCTATCTATAATATAAAAGATTATTCAATAAGGATACTATAATTAAGTAATTAATATAATTTATTTACTTCTTTCAAAAAATCTATATTATCCTTTTCACCAAAAAAAATTACGTATCCAGTTGACCATGGCTTTCTTCCTTTTCGCAAACAATTTTTACTTTTTTGACTAACAACTTCTAACGCATCAACAGTGGCTATTAGATCATAATTACGAGAAATAAATTCATTTCGTATAATTGGTTTTGGAATTTTAAAAAATCTAAAAAGAAAAAAAACAATGTTCAGTTATTATAAATATATCCTAAATTGCTCTACAAAACTCACCTATCAATTAAGTAATTTAATTTGTCATCATTAAATTGATTATTTGAGGCAGTGTTTATTTTAATAAAGTAATTGACTGGGTCAGGGCACTGTCTAATAAAACTTCGTGGACTAAAGTTTATGGTTAAATTCTTAACCAATTGTATATTCTTAATGCATTCTTTGTAAGTGCTTAATTTTGGATAAATAGTCTTTTTTCCAGAAGAAATTTGCTCAATAAAATCAGTTAGACCATCTGAATTGTATGCAAACATCTCTCCAGCTAGAGCTAAGTAAATAGGATCTGCATTTGGAATTACGTCTTTTAGATAATTTGCTATCTTTATTGCCATTGGATCTTGAGGTAATTTGCTAGTAGACAATTCAGCGTAAACATCAATTGCATTAAAATTCAATAATTCCAGTCGCACAAGTATGAATAGAAGATATGCATCATCACACATATCAATGATTTTAAGGACCTTTGATTGATTGTTGGCATATAAAGTTTCCCAACCAAAGTTTCGAAACTTTTCATTTTTAATGCACTTGATGTAGAAAGAGCGAGCTATTATTTGTTTACATGTTCTATTATTACCATAGTTTGGTAATTTTGGAAAAGTCTAAACATTAAAAAAATATTTTTTTGATTGAATTTTATTTTTAAAGTAATACAAATTAATTTTTAGTAGTGTTCTATTACAATGCTATTAATTTTTGGACCATGGAATTCCGTAAATATTAATTATCTGCCCCACCTAGTACTAATAAAATAAAAAACCAAAATATCTTATAGTACTTATAGGTAGGTTAATGTTATAAGTTGGAAATTTAAAAGATACATATATATATATATATATATTTATATGATAATTTAGTTTTAATTCTAAAAGAATACACTGTAAACATAATAAGATTCAGAGTGGAATTTTGATAAATAGTATTTGCTGAATTTAAATTTAAAACAATATTTATCATTAATTATAAAATAATTTATAATTTGTAGAGTATAATTGAATGAATTGTATCATGTGTGTAAAATATAAGTACTAGAAATTTTATAAATTATAAAGTCAACTTACCATGGGTACCATTGTATTACTTGTTTTATAATTGTCACTAAAAAGTAAATTTTAGAATATTTTCAATGATATCAAGACCTACAAAATAAAAATAAATAATCATAGGTATAACACTATATAAGTAAAATAGTAATAGTTACATTACAAAGAAAACAGATTTTTATTAGGACTATGGATTTAACTAAAGTCCATGATTATATAAATTGGTTATGTTTACTTAATGATACTTATTATATTATGTATATTGTATCAATAAAAGAAAATATTGTGGTGCTAGGTATTTTAAGGAGTGTTTAAATACAGGAATGCACCACTTATAGTGTGCGTAATGTAAATAACATGTTTATTATTTGCAAATTAAAATTTTGAATAAATATGGTATCCTATTCAATACTTATTAACTCTTGCCCAAAACAGGTTTTAAGTTATCTTCATGATGCTATTTAATACAAGGGGTTTAGTAAAACACACTTTATCAAATACAGGCATGACATCAGAATTTTGACACCTTTTATTTTAACATATTGATCAAAGCAAGATTATTTATTATGAAAACAAAATATTACAAAAGTACCAATATTTGAATATTCACTGACGACATTATACTAAAATATGATCAGTATTAATTAGCATATAATTCTTTTAAATTCACAATCTATTTCTTTTTTTAAATGGATTTTCCTTAAAATATTTGTAATAAAACTTTATCAAAAAAATGTCCATAAGGTAGAAAATATTAATCTTGAAGAATCAGATTTTTCAAAATGTAATTACATTTATCTTAAATGAAAAAAAAAACTATTGATTGAACATTTAAACTCTGAATGTGCTGATAAATAAGGAAATTTTACAATTTAATAATATTACAGGAATATTCTGAGTTTTTTCACTTTTTAGTAATATTTGTTTAAATTAGACTTTTGTTTATTTTACATTTATTAACCATATTAATTCAAAATTTTAATTTGTTGCTGATAATCAATATGTTATAGTGATAGTGATTATTCAATCTATTACACTGTGTTAGAGTTATATTCATAGATTGATCTACGTTGTTTTCATAACATGACATGACATTCAACTCAACCTAACCCTGGCATTATGAATCTACGTGTTCTTTAGTCCATCTGTAGTGGCATCGGTGTTGTTCCTTTTCTAATCTGAAAACCTATGATGGCATCAAAAATGACTATCACTCAACGTGTTTCTGAATTGGTTGATGAAAATATGTGGTGGACTAGATGTACTTCATTTTTTTATGATGATTATTCATTATTACTATAGATTTTGGTTTCATGTAACACTGTTTAATACGATGTTCATTTAATATTTCATGATACCATCAAAGGTCTGATGAATTAAGAAACACATGGAATAATTAAACAATATTTTAAAATAATGACGAGATATGCACAGATATATTTATTAAGTTCTATATATCTGTGGGTGTATGTCAAACTTCACTTGACAGTTTTGTCAAATATTGTATTACTAGATGGATAACAAATTGTTATCATCGTATATTTTTATGATTATGAAACATAATTTACATAATAATAGTAATCATTTTTGTAATTATTATTTATTATATTTTATTACCTATACAAAATTTAAGATAAAATCAGATTAATTTTCAATGATACCGAAAAGACTAAGAACCGTTCTCACTAACGTAGAAAAAGTGTTTATCTGATTCTTAAACTGAGTTTATGGCTAATAACTGACCACGATTGGTCGATTACCTTATTAACTCAGTTTAAAGATTAACATTTACGACGAGAGAATTTCGGCAGCTCGGAAGATCGTGTTATCACTATACCACATTTATATCACACAAGTTATTTAACTATACATTTTAGTTTTAGTAGGTACCTATTTGTACATGTTTATTTAATATTAATACTTATTAGGTAATTTATGATTATACATGTTTGTTAGGTACCTTTAGGAGAAAGAGTAGAGGAGTTCTGCAGAGAAAATGGGATGATTATAACAAACAACAGATTTCAAAACCCTAAGAGAAGAATATATACATGGAAAATGCCAGGCGATATTGCCCGTTACCAAATAGATTATATACTGGTGAAAATTAGATTCAAGAACCAAGTTAAATTCTGTAAAGCATACCTGAGCGCTGATTGTGACAGTGATCACAATTTAGTAATAACGAAATGCAAACTCAGTTATAAAAAACCACAAAAACCAAAAGTACAGCAAGAAAAATATGTCAGATTACTTAGAAGAGCGGAACAATTGTTGTGGAACAATATGGACGATACATGGATATCGAATACCAAAAAGGAAATGAAGATGACCCTCTGAATAAAAAATGGGAGAACATAAAATCAGTTATCAAAAAGGCAGCGGATACTATGTTGACAAAAAAAGAAAAGAAAGAACCTAGAAAAGCATGGATTGACAAAGAAATAGTAAAACTTATAGATGAAAGACAAAAATATAAAAACAATAATACAAGAGAAGGACAACAAAAGTATCATCAACTAAGGAATCAGGATAACCGAGAAGCAAGAAAAGCCAAAGAAGAATAGTTGGAGCAGCAGTGCAGCGAAATTGACCAACTATTCAAAGTTAACAAAATAGATTATGCGTATCAAAAGATCCAACAATTTGTGGGAAAAAGAAAACGAAATTGCACTAATATCAAAGATAAAAATGGTTAATTATTAATTGATAACGAGAACAGATGAGGAAGAAACGAAATTGCCCATTTTAAAATCAGAATTTGAGTTAGCACTCCATGACTTGAAACAAAATAAAGCTCCTGGGATTGATAACATAACAGCAGAATTATTGCAATGTGCAAGTACGAATATAAAGGACGCTTTATATTATATATACTAACTCAGGATATATATGAGAAAGGAGATGTGCCAGATGATTACCGCAAAAGCATAATTGTAACTATACCAAAGAAAAGTGGAACAAATTTCTGTGAACAGTTTAGAGCTTATTGACACACGTCTCAAAAATCCTATCAAAATTAATAAATCGAAGAATAGAAGGAAAAGTGGAGCAGTACTTAAAAAAACGATCAATATGGATTTAGAAGACAAAAAGGCACACGAGAAGCCATTTTAGGACTGCGAGTACTAATTGAAAAACAGATCGATAAAAATAAAGTTACATATTTGGCCTTCACTGACCTGGAGAAGGCCTTCGATAAAGTAAATAGGAACAAAATGCTACTCATATTACGAGAAGTAGGTGTCGAGCAACAAGACCTAAGAATTATCCACAGTCTGTATAAGAACCAGACAGCTTGCATTAAGAAAGGAGAAATCACAACTAAAGCTCAAATAAAAAAAGGAGTTTGACAAGGATGCACATTATCACCACCACTGTTTAACTGCTACATCGAAAAAGTTATAAATACAGTAAAAGCAAAACTAACAAGGCTAAATATTGGAATCAAAATTGATGGAGAAATCGTTTCAATGATACGATTTGCCGATGACATTGTGGTAATAGCAAAAAGTGAAGAGGACATACAGCGTGCAGTTGAAGAAATGGATGAAATGCTCAGAACATCAGAAATGAAAATAAATAACGAAGATCTTAGTCTGCGCCAAAAACCCGAAAGTAAAAGCTGATGTATAAATATGTAGTCAAAAACTAGAACAAGTAGAGGAAATGTTATACCTAAGGAGCAAAATCATATCTGATGGCAAGAGTGTCCACGAGATAAAACAACGCATATCATTAGCAAAAACTGCCTTTAGTAAAAACCATAAGTTGCTCACTTCAAAGAAGATGCATCTCAATATCAAGAAGAGACTTATAAAAATATATGCATGGAGTGTCGCAACATACGGATATGAAACTTGGGTTATAAATGATACTGAAAAGAAAAGACTAGAAGCCTTCGAGATGTGGTGTTGAAGACATATGGAAAGGATAAGCTGGATAGAACGGATAACGAATGAAGTACTTAGAACGGTGGGAGAAAAACATACTCATAGATGTGATTAGAGAAAGACGCTGGAAAATGGTCGGACATGCCATGAGACATCCAGAAGAATTGCATAATATAATATTAGAGGGTATGATAGAAGGAAAGAAAACTGCAAGACGTCCCCGAAACTCCTATATAGGACAAATTAAATGTGATGCAAAAGTTAAAACCTTTAAGGAACTTAAAGAAAAGGCGAGTAACCGGTTAGAATGGAGAAGTGGAGTTGTAAACTAACCTTCGGGTTGAAAAAAAAAAAAAAGGTACCTTCAAAGGAAAAATATAACAAAAAAAAGTTTCACTAACCCCTGTGATATATAAATTTATATTGAAATTGATCATTTAAGTTTTGGGACATTGACAATGTAGGTATTAAGAAATTTGTTATAATAAGAATTCAGAGATACCTATTAACTATACATTTGTACAGATACCCAACTACCCCCTACCCAGAATGAATTTGTACAGTATAATGTAGGAAATATAATTATTATAAGTAGGTTATTGAAATGTTGTAAATAGGCATTGTGATTAGTAAAGAAAACATGTGCTACTCCGTGTATGTAGACCACATTAACAAGAATACTATTATGATAGCGAGAACATAAGTCAAGATTAGTAGTTATTACTTGAGCGATAAATATACTTACAAACAATAAATCTGATGAAAGAAACGACTACAAAGCACGATACTCGTTCACTGGATCAGAATAAAACAATAAATGTATGCTTTGGTAGAATGGTAATGTAACCAAATAGTAAATACAAAAGCAGTGAGCAGTTGAGTTGTAGAGTACAAAATAATAAATGCCAATGATGGCCAGTTCCCAGGAGGATGTTAGTGACGCTAACTTGGCGTGGGTAGTAGCAGTGTTGCCTCTAGTTAAAACCTACTTAACCTAATATGACGCCAAATAGTGGAAATCGTGATTCATGACTTCAATAATGGTTTGGTGGTTATAACGCGGTTAAATATCTTATCTTCCAGCATTGTGATAAGTGATAACGGAAACAAGTATTTATCATATAGCCTTTTCATAAAATTTGTATGTTTTTATCTCATTAATAATGATGCAAATATAATGATAAATAAATGTTTAATTTTATTCAGTTTATAAACAAACTACTTAGTGGGTAGATATTTTAATTTGATAGTTTTGGTTAAGACTATTTCTCTAGAATACTTACTTACTTTAGTAGTAATAATAATAGATGGAAGTCATTAAATCTATTATTATCCATTAAGATATTGCCTATAATAAACAATTTTTTAGTTAATTCAATTAATTAATAGTGTCAATAGCTGTTAAACCAATAATAAAGTATACACATTTTATTCCTATACAGATTTGAAACATACAAACACACAATATAATAATTTTAAATTTTAAAAATAATAACATTATATGCAAAATAATATTTATAATTGGTATTTAATGATATTTAAAAATACATTACATTAAAAATATACATAACATAAAGACTTTTAAAATCAGTTTTTCCTAATAAGTACAAAATTTTTTTGTGGTCAACTAAAACGGGATTAATAATTTTTTATTTTTGATTTGTATCATTTTTGAGGCTTCTATAACTGAAACTATTTAACGACAATCTTAACCAAACTTGTTCATTATTCAATTCTGAATTTTCATGGTTTAGTACCAGTACCAAACCATACAAATTCAGGAGTATATAATTCAATTAATTTACGAAATTATACTGATATCTATTTATATTGAAGGTATGCTCATAAAGCATTCAATATTATTATCTTAAGATATGATTATACTTTTTAGAATTGTTATATATGTGATTCGCTTATAAACCTTAGATATTCAAGGAATATTATTAGCAAATTACTAAATCTCACCTTAGATTACTTAAATAATACCATATATATCTACAAACATATTCATTAGATATCTGCAGACAGTATCCAAAAAATATTCCCAGTTTATTCCACTAAAATCCTCAAACATATTTAATGTATATAGAGGAACACATAAAAGATATTAAAGGAATATACAATTTGAAATTAACATATATTCTTTTTAATGATTAAATAAAATGGTTAAGATTAAAAAAGTCATTCGTTTATTGAAAACAATATTTATCTTCTATAGCATTGATAGTATAATATAAAACATATTTCATAATAAAAAAAAAAATCTGTCCTTTTTGTAGACAAATTATTTAACAATAATACTTTATAGTCAAGATTAATAAAATCATAACTTTACTAAAAAACCATTAAAATATTATAAAAATATATAATACAGGTATAATTACTTACATAATATAATACAAATTAAAAATTATGAATATAATACAAAATATACTTTATAAAAAAAATATCTGTCCTTTATAATTAAAAAAATCATTCAACATTAATATTAAAATAAAAAAAATGTTTGTAATTATTGCAATTATGTGTAATAATATTATTTTTACATATTTATATATAATAATTATAAATTACAAGTCGTACTTAAAGATTTCATTCTTTCTTTGATTTTAGCCAACCAAGTATCAGTAACACTTTCTAAATGTTTGTTTATTTCTTTCTATAAACTTAATTTTTTTCCACCAATCAAAAAACAATGTATATTTTTTTCAGCAATTATTTTATAAAGCACTTTAAATTATTATTAATGTTTTACACAAATTATATACACATATAATGACATACAATGACCATTTAACAAAATTTAAAAAAGTTCTATTTAGTAAATTGAAAAAAAAAATAGCAAATGATAAAGGATTTAAATTTGTGGGGACAAATAATTTAGATATCATTGTACACAAGAACGAGCAATATAGAGTTTATTGAATCAGGAACGAAAAAGATTGGAATAACTTATAATAGGTACCACAAAAATTGTCATTAAATTATAATTATGTTATATATTATATAAATTGATAATCTCGGAAATTTCAATAATAATTCTTTTTCGGATATAAACACCCTTAGTATTAGTAATTACTAATGTAATTAATTAATAACAAAAGCTTTATAATTGTCCATGTTAACATAAGATGAATTCAAACAAATTGTAATCAATTATTAGTTACCTATGCTAGATAATATTATATAATATATTGATTGTATATTCTTATCCGAATGTGAGCTCGGAAGTTGTCTAATTAATATGGTACCATGTTCAATTTGAAATTTTTACTAGATTAGTAGGTTCCGACACCACCGCTTTTTTAATCTATTCCTGAAGTTACCTGGTAAATTTGATGACGTTAGTCCTATGATTAGGGGATTAATTAACTAAAATATATATTTTACATATTTTTTTAGTTCCGCCAATAATAGTGAGCAGAGGTCTTTTCCCGGAATGACAGGTATAAATATATAATACTATGTTATACCTAATATTTCAATATCGATAGCTGATAATTATTTATCATAATTTAAAGTCCATACTATTGAACTATATAACATATATATAATATATAGTACTACATAATACTATATAGTTATTTTATTGTTCAATGGTAATTGAATTCATAAGTGTCTATTATTAATCGAGGACCAAAGTTGATGATTCCTTTGGGTTCCTTCACCGTGCGTTACTATCTACCATTTACCGCCAAACTTTAAGGGATGTACTAATAGCAGAAACCCTTAGTGGAGTACACTGTCTGAAAGTAGACTTCACCATCTATTTTTTAGTGAAATACAATTTTTTCAAATTATTAATGGGACCAAAAAAGACTGTTCCGACTGGTTACTATGATATGCTAATATTAAAAGAAGACTTTTTTTGCGCCTCGACATCATGCATTATTGCACATTTATTGCCTATCTAACACTTTCAATTTTCACGCATTTTGAGAACCACTGGGCTCTCTTATCAAATATTGCTAGTGCAACATACGTAAAATATAAGTACTTATAGTAATAATACACATTTATAACACATTTTAGTATTTTAAAGATTTCATAAGGTTAACTAAATTCCTAGTAATTTATTTTACTTCTATTATTTCATTTAATTATTATTCGATTCTAAATACGATAATTATGTTTTTTAATACCTTTCGAACATTGTCATGTACAGTATACAAAGCATCGAGTAGTTTTTCGGCCAGCAACAACTTTGTAAGTTAACAATATATTATATAAAATATAGTATAATTAAATGGATTAAATAGAATATTTTATTTAGAAAAATGGAAGAAACATTTATACAAGTGTGATCAAGTATAATGGACTTTTGAGTAAGGAAGATAATGAGACAATGGTATCAATTAAAGATAGGTCAGTTGTAATTCCCATTGAGACCAGTATTGAATATATGGAAAGTGAAGGTATGGAAATAATTTAATCATTTTACTTAAAAATTATTTGTAAATTAAGTTTTTTTTTATTTAACATTTCAACATTGAAATAATTATATTTAGTATGAATCCCGTATGAAAAGTCTGAGGACAAAAGGTCCATGGACAAAATTTTGAAAAAAGTTGGATAAAAAGTCCGGACTCATTTTATTATTGATGGACAAAAATTACAAACACATTTTTATGTTCTACATTAATAATAGTTATTTAAAATATATTAAGTTTTAAAAAATAATAAATATTAATATTGATCACTACAATTATATAAATAATAACAATTTTCAGTTTATTATTAGAAGTTTCTAAAATAATTGGACATTATTTTAAATTTTATTTGAACGTTTCCACCGAATACTCGAAACAAGTTTATGAAAAACCATAGTTATATGAATATTCATTAAATAACATTTTTTATTTTCTTAATGTGGTATAAATATAGATGAAAAATAATAATTGATTTATTAGATGTAGATTTATTTAAATCATGTGTAAAAGTAATAATAATAAGAAGATAATTTTTTGTTTTTTGGATTTTTTTGTCTGACAATAAAATTGTGCTCGGTCTTTTTGTCTAAATACCATTTAATATTAGATACCTAAACCTTGTAAATGTTATTACTAGCCACTAGATTGATCAGGTTTGGGTGTCTATGTGTCTATACAAATATAAAACAAGTATTGGAATGATTCTAGTCTAGTTCCCATACATTTTTTTTTTTAATGTGTGTTTTTAAATGTTTAATCCATTTTTATAATCAAAACTTACCTATCACACTTCCTTATATTGTTTTTGTAAATTAACCTTAAAAAATATCAATTTTAGAATTAATCCTAAATGTATTACATCCAAAATGTGATTAAAAATGGATATTTTTTTTGTTATTGTTATTTGTAGTTATAGATGATTTGATAATAAAGTTTTTTTTATTGAAGTCAGAATAAGTCTATTTGGCTAGTTTTAGAGTTACAGATGTTTAAATGTTCCATATTTCGCTGAGCTCACTCAGACAATTTTAATCAAAAATAACCCTAGATCACTTCAGATAGGGCACAATATAAAATCAAATTCATCATTTTTACTGTTGATGTAAATAAGTAGGTACTTATCTCAAAATTAAGGTAAAAATGATCATATGTTGGGTCCATCTGATAGCAAACTATGCTGTGACATGTCATAATCATATAATATTAGGATCGATAACTGTTTGCATCATTAGTATTGAACATCTATAACTCTAAAAATAGGCCAGATAGACTTATTCTGACTTCAATACAAAAAATCTATGTTTACAAAATTTCAAATACCACAAATAATAATAATAATAACATATGTCTATTTTTGATTAAATGCTATTCTTCAAGTTTAATACACAAAAATTATAAATATAAGTATGATAAACAAGTTTTCACTATACCAATAGATTAAGCATTTAAAAACACACATTTGGAAAAACAAAAAAATTTGAATGTTAAATTCTAACTAAGAAATACAGTAAATGGAAAAACTTAATTTTATGAATTTTTTTCCCATAACTTCCAAACAAATTTTATTCAATTTTTTTTTTCATTATGTTCTTAATGTATACACATAAATACACATTTTGAAAAACACAAACCCAAAAAATCGTGTGGGAGCTAAACTAGAATTATGCCCAAGTATTTATATCTACTTATACAATTTAATGAATTTTATTTTATTTTAAATGTTCTATACATGATATAATCAATCATGAAAAATGAAGCAACTTGTAATATGTGATAGTAGTATAACTTATGTGATTTACCTCACATACTCGTACTACAACTTGTATAACTTCTAATATAGGTATCTAAATATTATTATTTTATACATACACTATTTATCAATAGGCTGCATAAAATATTGTTTTATGAAACACTAGTGCAATTAATAAACTCAAATAATATACATATATTATCATAATGATGAATAATATTGATTAAAATGTATAAATACAAAAAGTGATAAAAAAGTACAAACACTTCCTTATACAATTTACAAACATGCAAATACATAAATAATAAAATAATAAAGTAAAAAAAAAATTATTAAATGGTTAATACTCATAAATAAATAAATACATTTTACCTGACATTGAATTTCTAATTCGAAACCAGTCATACAATATACATTTCATAATACTCCAGGCACATACTATATTTATTTATATATTTATATACATAAAACATTAATTTCTTAATATGAAGATACAGATTTATATTAATGACTATATAATTATAAACACATTATAAAATTTTAATTGAAATAAAAAGATTAAAAGTAATAATTTCAAGATCAAGTTTATATTTAAAATAAAAAAGAAAATACAGTTCAATACCTTATTGTTATACTAATAGTCTATTAAGAAAGTATTACTTATATGTCTTAAAATGTTTTCTATCTAACATCTATTCACACATTCATATTACTAGTTTTTTTACTATCAAGAATGTTGATCAAATTAGTTTTTGGTTTATTTGCAATATTTTTGTTCAAATTGGTGGGAGTTTACTGTCCTAATGGGCACCTATAGGCACCTAAGGATGGATGATGGATGGACCAGGGTGCCTGCTGTAAGGGGGATATACAATTGACTAAAATATAAGATACACATATACTTTATATGTTATAAAAGATTAATAGATAAAATAATTTTGTACTACTTAACCTACTAAGAAAAGGTTTGTTAAGTTTTTATTTTTATTTTTATAGTATCTTAAAATTAATTTTGTCTACATTACTCAGTTCAACAATTTTACTTATCAAATATAAATGTGTAAGTTTTCCAAAAAATTAACCTTAATTTAGTATTAACTTTACAATGATAATAAACACATTGTTAAATAATATTTACACTAGAATATGACAGTACAATTTTACAATAATTTGGGTGTGGTTAAAACTAATAAACAATTATTAAATTTGAATAAATGCACGTTAGAAAAAATGATTTGGCATTTATAAGATACATTATCATTGGGCTAAAAGTCCAGCTTATATTTATGGTTACTTTTTGATTTATCGGATACATTAATTTTGTGTTTAAAATTATCTAATTTTGTTACTTATCACAATTGTATAAAACATGGCATGCCATTAATAAAATATATCTTATATTTTACAACATTCATAACTAGGGATCCTGACTTATAGTACTTAAGACACAAAAAGGCGCTGAAAAACATTAAAAAAGGCTTGAAAAAAAGTACTTTAAACATATATATATATATATTAGACCAAATGGTAGAAGGGTTTAAATGTTCCCTGTTTAACAACTATAAATTATTAAATATAATTTTCTAACTCTTTTTAACTTTTGGTCAATTTTAGTTTTGTAGTGTTAGAAAATTGTATTAGATAAGTTAAAGCCATTAGAAAGGGAACATTTAAACCCTACTGGTTTTTCATTTTAAATATTTTTCAAATGCTTTTTTTTTGAAAAAAATTTGGACTATTTAAAATTATTATAATATTAAACCTATTTAATCATAATATTAATAATTATTGAATTTCAATAAATACATTTTATATACATTTACATCTAGACATTTTGTTTTGTAATTATTAGGTAAATCATATGATTTTCAATTTATTGGTGTGTAGGTAGTAGATTTGATTCAATACATTTAAAATTTTTGACATTTTGATATATATAATTTTTCAATTTTTTTCAAAATGTGGGGGGCTATGAGCCATGGTAACCTCAATCCTGTATTTTTTGTTAGAAACAACTTTACAAAACAATATTATACTATCGACTATTACAGATATATACAATTGTATATTTAGAGTACTTATAGTAGGTATCTGTAGTGTATATAGACTATATAATAGGGCCCTAGGCCCCAGCCCATAGTGAGATTTCAGATTCAATTAAAACTTTTTGCATATTGCTTTAGGGTGGAGTAATGTATTTTCCTGGTATAGGTAATTTTGTGAATTTCGATATTTACTGATTGTAAACAGTTAACACTTGTCAACAGTAGTACTTTGCAGTGCTCAAATTGAGAGGAGATGGAGTACCTCAACTAATTTTTCAGAAATGTTAGTCTACCTTTACTATTTGTTTGAAGGAGACACAATGGAGGATACAAGATACCATGTTTTGAAAGAGCTATATATAAAAGACTATACCTATAAAAGTATTCAGTAAATTTTCTTACCTCTAAGATTATTTTTCATTAAATAAATAAAATAGAATAAAACAGATGCAGTAAATATAACAGTAACAAGTTTTCCTAAAGTTTTCTGGGGTTTCAAAATAATTAAGAATACTATACAGAAAATCAAAAATAACCACTGTATTGCACCAACTAGACAACAATTTTTGTTAGGAACCATCACCTTTTAAGTTGATAATTGAAGCAAGATTTCTGGAAGAAAAGTTGTTCACATACAGGAAAAGAACAAACATATCATCATAAAAGAATCATAGTAATAACCATCACATTAGAATCTAAAATAAATAATATATACTATAGTAGATACTATGTAAGTAAAAGTTAGGCTGCAGTAGGTAGTGTTTATTTTTGGAAAGTATGAATTACTGAATTATGTTTGGAAATTGGTGCAGGAGGTTTGGAGGGCTAAGCCTCACACTGGTTGAGGTTTATTTATATCTTATAGTCCCTCTTTTATTTTATCAATTCGAGCACTAGTACCTTGTGTAACATTTGATGCTATGTATATGTTTACTGGTGAATAGGTATATTTGTTACAAACACTCAAAGAAGTATCACAAAATGAAATCTATCATGAACATATCTTTCTTTACCCTATTACCTAAATAATATATACTATATTACATCAGTCAAGACATCAACCATGATCCATATCTAAGTTGTTTTTTGGTATATAACTGACTACGATATATACTATATATAACTACGATACAACTGTTGAAAGACGTTTTTCAACATTAGATTGACTTAAAACTGCTTTGATGTTGATTCATCATACCTCTAAATATTGAAGAAATTGTTAATATTTTTATTTTAAAAATATAAAAATCAATTTTACATAATATTTAAATGATGAATCAGTTAAATATTTCCATGTGAATTTCTCAAAAACATTTTAAATCTACCTACTGTGTAAAAAAAAAATGCTAAATTTATTATATAATATAATAATCAATATGTATTTATAATTATAATTCCTCTATTTGCATTATTTATGTTATAATTAAAATCACCTGGCCCTCTAAAAGTAGCTTTGTTGGTGGTAAATTAGCCCCTAGTGACAATAATTTCTATATATGCTACTGATAGGTACCATCTATATTGTGAAGTATTAATAAACTATAAACTATAAAATATGTTTTTTTTTATAGAGTTTTCTAAAGCTTAGTCTCTCCCCAATTAAGTCTCTGGAGCTAATCCTGATTACTATACCATTTTATATGTGATGGTGCTCTTATAAAAAATATATATTCAATACATATTTTAAACACATTTAAAAAATATATGTGTATTTTTACTCTAAATACTTTGAAAAAGTAAAAGACAAGTCTACTTGCACCTAGCCTAAATTAGATTATAAGCTATAGGATTCACATGAATTTATGAGAAGTATTCAATCAAACATCTATTTTAGCAAGTATTTATTGATTCTTCTATGTCAGCATTAAACATTAATAATAATTATAATTATTTATTTAAATTTAAAATCATTTTTAACAGTCCAAGTATAATTTGTATAAATAAGGTTTTTATGTTGTAACTTATTAAACATTATATAAAATATAATCACAAGAAACTTTAGTATGAGAGTTTACTATACTGATTTTTGTAGCCAAATCATATTACTGACTTCTCAAGAATTATTTAGTCTCTTGCAATATCCTTAATAATGAGTAATGACTCACACTATTCACACTTGGTTTACATCCATTTACAGTTAATGAAACTACACCTTTTAGTTTATAGTTTAAATTATTAACAGTCAATACTTCTGGAATATCCTCTAATTTAGTTTTTACAATTGTATTTGCTATCATTATTTACTTCTAAAAATATTTAAACATTTAATTTTATGTTAATATTTATTATATTAATGAAAGTGTATTTTAACCTTGATAAGTCGAAATTCAAGGAAAATGCAATTTTTTCTGACTTCTCGAGGTTTTTGAGTTATCAAGGTTTTAGAAAAAAAAATTGATTTAAAGAGTTTTTAAAATGAACATATGTATTATAGTTTTTAATTATTATATAGTTTATATGTACACATAATTACAGCATGTATTGTTATTATTACTTTAAAATTGTATTACTAAAAAATGATTAGGTTGAATTGTGGGCTGCACAATCTGATTAAACAATTGATTATAAAAATTATCAGTCATTATCCATTTATATTTAGAACACAGAATGTTCGAGTTATCTATAGTTTTTCTTTCAAGTAACCTCCGAGTCTACTGTACTTGCAATTACCATTGTTAAATTTATATGTCTCAATAAAAATATGATATTTTGAAAATTCAGGAACCAATGTCACTTGTCCATTGCACAGATTTTTGCTGCATTTATTTTTGACTGGTTTGATATGAGTATTTATAAAGTCAAAAATTATAAAAGTTCCCATGAAATATATGTAACATATGCTTTGATCACATTTATTATTTAAAGATTATTGAGTACTTAGGTAACATGCATCTTAATAAATTTTCAAAAGTTGTATCACATTCAACCAGCTTTTGGTCATATTTCAGGGGAGTTGTGTTGAACTAAGACAGCATATGTGGGTATGACATTCTTTTAAAAATTACAATTAAATTAAATACAAATTACAAATTTTGTAATTAGTATTTTTGGGTTAATATTAGAGTCCCATTTTTATGCAAAAACATATTTATAACAAACATATGCTATTTGATGGGAGTAAACATTTTATAACCTATAGAATCTATTAAAAAAAAGTTTTTTTTTTTATTCAAATGAGTGCATATTTCTGCTATATTGGATTATATTACAGAAATATTATGAAGTTTTTAGTTTAGTTTAATTTATATCTAGTCACCCATTCAATATAATTTCCTGTGATAGATTGTTGTGAGCAAATATAACCTTAGTTTAATTACTATACAATAATACTATTTGTATAGTTCAACCAAGACATTTATATTAGTGTTTAAGATAAAAAATTAAGTATTATCAGTACATTGTTTGTTTAGCATACAAAACCACATATGGAAATGATCCTGTATGGAAAGAATATCGTCGAAATCACAAAGGAAGTATTCCACCAATAAAAACTAGGAAAATGTGTATTGTTAGTTCCAAATTAATTTGTATGATAATTTTTAATTTTAATATAATAATGTGTTTTAATATTTTAGAGAGCTGATAAAATTTCTACTGGGAATCCATGTCCAATTTGCCGTGATGAATACTTGATACTGGACTATAGAAATGTGGAGTTGCTCAAACAATTCATATCACCATATTCTGGCAAATTATTATCTTATTCGTATGTCAAAGAATTTTTTTTTCTAATTGATACAAAATATTTTAAATGATAAATAACTTATTCATATTTTAAAATGTAACTTATCTGCTAGATTTTTTAACACATTCATTTTCTCAAAAAGTACAAACTTTTATAGATAATTTTCTTTTTGGGAAATTTGTGTCATTTTTAAATTTTACATTATCCTTTTTATTCTTATGTTTTATGGTTAAATTACTTATAACAACTTTTTAATTTTTAAATTGAACCTGTATTAAAAATTTCACAAATTCACAAAGTTATAATTGAAATAAATAATCCAGTTGGTGTTGAAATATCTAGTTTCCATTTATACATTGGCAATTTAAGTTTGGTTTTTTTAATTGTGTGGATTGTAGAAGGAGCAGTGGACTCCTTTTACTGGTGTTTATGCAACAATACAAAGCTGATATATCTAACTAACAGATAGTAATTAAATATTATAACATTGTTATTACCTATGTTGGTGGTGGTTTCTTTTCTATCAAATAATAGTGAAAAATCAGGATAATGTAATATTTGATTGTAACAATTATCTTAAATTTTTAAAAATGAAAATGTTAATTAAAGATAACACATTTCACAATAAAGTATATATTTATAGAATTACTCTATATAATCTTAAAGAAATACAAATGTATAATAAGCCACTGGCATAGTTGAATTAATATATAAATCAGTTTTTTTTATTTTTTCTGAAAATTAATCAATATGGAGTTACTATAATTGAGATTAGGCCATATTACACAATATAAAATTATACATATGAAAGTAAAAGACTTTCATTGTGAATATTATAGTACAAATATTAATTCCATAAAATATTTAAAAAATATAAAATCATATTAAGGCTTCTACAGTGTTCTATTATTAAAATTTCAAACTAAAATTGTATACACATATAGTATAGAGGTCGATGATTACAAAAAAATATTTTAAGCAAAATTGGCATTTCCATAAAAATGCTTTTCTTGCACCCAGCCACTCAATTGTAGTCATTTCCTGGAAGGGAATTTTCCTGTGGCAGTACATTAGGTATATAATTTTTTGATTTTCCCAGGGACTTACATAATAAATGGGGGAACTGAATGAAAATAATACTTTTATAATTTTAAATTTTGGTTTTTGTTGTAATTCAGTTAACAATATTCGTTGAGACTTGAAATTTTGATAGTTATCTTATATTTGCATTTTAATTTTACAGTGAGGGGGATATTCATTTTTGTTCATTTGGTATTTTATAGATAAAAATTGTTAGACCAAACAGAAATGCTAGAAAATTTAACAGGATGGTAATGATCTTCCTGTTAAATTGTATAAGTTAATATTATAATTTGTCCTTTGAGTTAAAAAAAAAATTAAGTGTCATGTAAAATTTTTTTATAAGAAATTTAAATCAAAGTTTGAAAGCAACACTGTTTACTGAATTCCTCTTAGAATCGTTTTTCTTTAGCAATGATTAATCACTAACTGTAGATATACATTAAATTTCCCCTCTACCTTCCCAAATTCTGACCTACAATAGTGGTACACCTATTGTGTGAAGTATGTTCATTTTTTTTTATAATGAAATACAGTTTACATGATTAACATAATATTTTTATTTTTAAATTGCAATAAGGAAAATTGTTAAAAATTTAAAAAAATTTTGTTTCAGATTAACTGGTCTTTGTCAAAAACAATATCAAAATTTGATAGTAGCAGTCAAAAAAGCTAAGGACTGGGGATTTATTAAATTTGATCTTCCAGTTAAACATTATAATTATGATGAATATAAAAATTCAGATAAGTAAAAATCAAACAATGTAATTGATCTATAGGAGAAATATATTAAATTAGAAATATATTTCAGCGTACTAATTTTTTTTTTTTATGCTATAGAATAATAACTGATATAAAGACCATAAATTAATCATCCTCAAATATTTAATTGGTTAATAATAATGTATGTGATTGAAGGGTCATATTTTGATGGCATTTTGTCAAATTATGAATGATTGTGGTTTGTTGAATGGCTTTTTGTCATTTTATGTCAGGTGTCTTAATATGGTGTCACTTATTTACTACAATCAGCTATCTAGTATCTGCTTTGATTTGTATCACTATTCATTACTATAATATTATACCATTATTCAGTGGCATTATGGGGGGATTGTTAGTGGTGTGGTAACACCTCCCTGGACTGTGTTTATTTACTACAATAATAAAATTGTGCAAGCTAATTATTTTATAATAGGAAACACCCCCATATATATATGAAACTATATCACTATGTAAATTATATAACAAGGTTTGTATTTTATAAAAACTATGATGTAAAAGATTGATTATTGATAAAACCATGACAAAATAAATAAACAAATTTGATGGATTAAACGAACCATCATAAGGCTGTTTACAGATACTAAAGTTGAAGGAAGACCTGTATTGGATCACAACATTGAATGTTTTTATCAAATACAATAAAAAGTGGCATCCTACCAGTGCCATAGGCCATAGCAGATAAGCAATAACAATTAACAAATAAATAAATACAAATATTATTTATTATTTCTTTAGTTTATTTTAATATACATGAGGTTATGAGATTATGTTTAAAAAGTAAACTTATACAAATATTAAATATGTATTAAATAGTATAAAAATACTTATTCAAATTTTGACAATTGAATTTTGTAATACTTATTTACTTCTTTACCACTTGACTATGTATTAACAGTATCAGACTGATTAAAATGTGTAGCACAAACAATATTTTTTTTTCAATTACATACCTAATGATATTTGCTATATAAGTTTTTAAATTCATCAGTACATTTTTGGCATTTTATTAAATATAATAAAATAATTTACAGAATAGTATTCAATAATTCTCAGAACATCTAATCAATTCATAATTTATATGATGAATATAAATATATAATTATAATATTAATATAGGTACTTAGATAGGTATATAAATAATTGTATATATAAACATAAACTTACAGGAAATACTAAAATAATGTCAATTATAATATTGTCAAACTATGAGTATTATAAATAACCTACTTTTCAATTATCTGGTAAATTTGTTAATACATCTTTGTTTTATAACTACAGATATATAGGGTGATCAATCTATTGTAAGACAATTATTATCTCTAATTTGTTTTTGAGAATATTTAAGAAACAAGCTGTTCTACAATTTCATATTTATGTTATTTTTTTTGACACCCTTATTTTTGGGGGTAAAACCACTATTTACCTTTGATTTTCAAATAGGAACCTATTTTAAAAATTCCATAAATAGAGAAAGTATTAGTTAAAATAAATTTTGGTGTTGACATTTTTGATCCATCAATCCTTCATTTCTACATTTCTTATATTTTATTTTTTTTTCGGTTTTTAAAATTTGATGAATTAGAGAAAATCTAAAAATTACCTCTCTAAAGTTCCTCCCCATGCCAATTTCCTTTCAGAAAAGGTGTTACACTTCGAAATACAAGCAAGTTTTCTGATAGAAAAGTTGTGCAAAGATAAAAAAAAAATTAAAACATTTTGCTAAACATGTTTTTAAAAATAACCATAATTTAAGCTTTAATATCAATACAGACTAGAGATATTAAATACCCAAAAAAACATTTACATTAATTCAGTTTTATAAGAATTACATATATACACTGAAATAAAGAAAAATAATTGTATAACTATAATTTTAAATGTACAAACAGATTTTAAAAATAATATCTTGTATCAATAATAAATAATAACCAAATTATTTATATTTCTTAACATATCTATGTCTAATAATACCTCATTTTAAATATTTTCTCCTATTAAAATAAATTACTTCTATATAAATCGAGCAATTGAAGACTTGGATGCAACAATCAGCCTTCTCCAAATTACTAAAATTACTATCTCTTGAGAAGTCTTATTGTAACAAAAAGTAAAACAGATTTCTCCATTTGTATATAATTTATGTATCTAATGGTCAAATCTATCAAATTTTTTTTATAAGAATATACAAAGAAGTGATTTTTGAAAAAGGATGGAGATTGTTGCACACACATCTTCAATTTATGTTTTTTTTTCCATGTATTCCTTCATTTAATTTTTTACATTTTGATTGTGATATATCTGATGATGAGTTTACACTTGATAATAATACATTATCTAACTTATCATAATTTATTTATTTGTTTTTATTTATACATTTATTTACCAAAATTAATAAAAAAGAATAATAAAAAAAAACCATGTTATAGATAAGAAGTTAGATAAGGTATAGATAAGGTCGGATATATTGAGGGAAATTTAATGTATATCTGTACCCAAGCAAATTTAAGTATTGCCAACAAAAAACGATTCTGAGCGGAGTTCAGTTAATAGTATTGCTCAGGGAGGTCTTCGGGTCAATTCCATTGGGAGAAAGGCGAACAATTTTTATTTTTGAATACCACTGCTTTGGTCAAAAAAAACTTGAAACCTTTATGTTTGATGTCATTTCAACTTATATTAGTTTAGAAGATGCAGATATAGTGTACACATTCAGTACAATTTAAAAGTTAAATTTATTTTATTTACATTAAATAAATAATAATTAAAATAATGATAATATGAATAACAATTATAATAATTATAACTAATAAAAGTTAGATGATCAAGTCCAAAATAGTTTTATTTTAAGCAGAGGTTTGATCAACAATATTTATTTTCTATATTAATGTTTTCATTTCCATGAATATTTAAAAATGATAAGCCAGTTAGACTCTGGTCAAAATCGTTTTTTTTTTTTTTACCATAGAGTACCTACCCAATAAAAATTATGTACAAAACTCACAAAATTAAAATGTCTATAAATTACTCAACAATTTTCTCATGTCAAGAAAAGGCAAGTATAAGTTAGAGTTTTCTGTTCAAATTTCAAGTCTACGAATATTTTTAACTGAATTACAACAAAATTGAAAATTATAAAAGCACTTTTTCGTATATTTTCCCGTTTTTCTTACGATTTAACCTGGGTTTTTCAAATTTTATAAAACCTGCTTGGAAAATCAAAAATTACCTTCCTAAATTACCATCTAGTTCAAATTTTTGTCACAGTTTAAAAATAAAACATTGTAAATCCAACAGGTACATTCTTCACTACACTCAGAATCGAAAATTTAAATTAAATTAATCATTTTCAATTTTGATTCTAAAAATATATTATTTTATTAAATCTTTCCAAATTGACTGTACCCATTTAGTTTTACATAATTCTATCTCACCCTTGAGAGAATATTTATTGAAATTTATAAATGATAAGTGTTTTATTCTTGTTTCAATCGAAGTATTTCCAAGATCCGGAATCATCTATGGTATTTGGAACCAGTTGCATTTGTACTTAGTTGTACTTAAGAATTATGGGTATTTGGTGTAACAAAAAAGAACATCACACAACTTATGAGGGGGGTGATCACCTCCCTCGTCACCCTCAGGACCGCGCCTGATTGTTTTATTAATACTCCATCTATTTAAGGAATTTTTAATATAGGTTGTCATTTAAAAATCAAAAGTAGGTAGTGATTTTATCCCTAAAAATAAGTGTAACAAAAAATAAAATAATTTTCCAAGCCGTTTTCATAATATCTGTGAAAAATCAGGATAAAACGTAAGAAAAACGGGAAATTCACGATAATAATGTTTTTATTATCTTTCAATTTTGTTATTTGTTGTAATTTAATTAAAAATATTCGTAGAGACTAGAAATTTGGACAAAAACTTAAATTTGTTTTTTCTAGACGTGGTAAATTTTTTAAAATATTTGAGCTATTCTTAGTCTTTTAAAAATGTTTAATATTTTTTTTGTAATTCAGTTATTAACATTCGAATCGAGTCTATGGACTTGAAATTCGGACAAATATTAAAAATCGGGAAAAACGAGAAAATTGGTACAATGTTAAATAAATATTATTAAAGAAAATACATAATGCCTATTTAATTATGTTACTATAATATGATATATACATGGTTGACAAAGCATTACTATCAATTGAACTGCGTTCAGAATCATTTTTCGTTAGCAATGGTTTATTGTTGCTTACAGATTTACATTAAATTACCTATAAAAGTGGCTGCACCTAACCCCATTATCCTTAGATGTCTTTCTATGCTTTTTTTTTTTTTGCATATTTTTATGAGAATATAAGGAGAATATTTGTAAGTTTTTTAGGATCAGGATGTATTAAAATATAGTCCTTATCCTCAACAATACTGTAAATAATTTATTCTGATGATAGTGAATTAAATTTTATACATCATAATATATAATACGGCTAAATACAGTAAGTATGTAATAAAATTATAATATAAAATTTATATTAAATCTTCGTATCATATTCTACTATCTAATTATTTGATTTTTAAATATTAAAAAAAAAATATTGATTACTGAATACATTTGTAGTAAGTATATTTAGGTATTATGCTATAAACGTAGCGATAAAATGTACACATATTTATGTCGTAACGATTTCATGGTTATATATTGTTTACAAAGCATCACTATCAACTAAACTCCACTCAGAATAGTTTTTTAGTAAGCAATAGTTTAGCGTTGCTTACAAGTATACATTAAATTATCTATTACAGTGGCTGCAACCATCCCCAATATCCTAGGACGTCTTTTTTTTTACAAATTTTGACGAATGATGAAAAATCGTAAAATATTATAGCCTTTTAAAACATGCATAATCGAATTCCACTTAGAATCGTTTTTTATTATCAATGATTAATTGTTGCGTACAGATATACATTAAATTCCTCTTTATGGTTTACTTTCTCAACTTCAGTGGCCCACTCATTGTTTAATGTATGCCTGTTTTAATTTGTATTTGCTAAGAGACCTTTTCGTTGATTTTTGGACCAAGTTGTTGCATTAGGAAATTGTTATTTATTTGTTCAAACAGTTTTTATAATAATTAGGAAAAACCGGTAAAAGATGTTCAATAAAATCTGATAAATTTAAAATTTTACTATTTTTAATGTTTTCCAATTCTCTATTCAACTAGTAATATTTTTCCAAATTGCATCTTTTCTGAAAGAAAATTTAGTCTAGTTCTTGTGAATGATGCTATCTCTTTGTCAACCAAATTAGCTACCGTAATTATGTACTGGTCATTATGGACAGACTGACACAGAGAGGATATGCGGTATCCTTGTTCGTTTTCAAAAATTCTTATTTTGGTTCTTGATACCACCATCGGTTCTTATTTTTTTGATGTTGAAATAACAAAATAACTATTTACTTACATTATATAAATCATTTTGTCAAAATAATTCAATAGGCTTTATATATTTTCTTTAATAAAATTTGTTTAATGTTGTACCAATTTTCTCAGTTTTTCGATATTTTATCTAGGTTTTTCACATTTACTGGAAAAAATCAAAAAATGACTTCACTAAAGTTACTCCTGTGAAAAGTACTCCCCACGCTGATTTCCTTTCAGAAAAGGTGCTACACGTAGAAATCCGAGCTAGCCTTCAGGTAAAAAAGTTGCACACATATAAAAAAAAAATAAAAAAATAATAATCATCTTTGTAAAACCATAAGCTTCTTCACTCCACTCAGAATCTAAAATAATAACAGCTTCAAACACGTGTTATAAGATTCATATATAAGATATATTATGATAACAAATAATTTGATCTTATTACAGTAATAATGCGTCATTCTATAAAAATCAATATTTACTAAAAGAAACAAATAACTAAAGCTAGTGTAATAAGAACTGGAACCGATAAATAATCAAGCTAAAACCGAAAACTAGCTAATCTATACTCAATACTCATTAAAGAGGAAGTGGCCGTTTTTACGAACAAATATTACATGTTCGACCAGATAGCCAGACAAAACTGAAGGAACGTGTTAGACGGATTTCAATTTGTTCTTAATTAGGATACTTTGGTTTTAAATTTTAAATTTTAATCCTTTATAAGTAAAAGGCAAATTCGTTTTTCAAAATTACAATCAAATTTTTTTTCCGATTTCTAGTAAAAAAAATTAAATTTCCATTTTCAATATACTCTAGTAAAAAACTTAATGAATAATATTAATTATTTAAATGAAAATTTTTCAATTACAATTCTTACAGTTTTGTCGTGCATAAAATGTCTACCGTACACTAATCCCCTTAAAAATAAAACTCGTTATTCCATAAAACATAACTTTCCACTATTGAGATGGATTCTGACTTAAGTATACGATGAACAAAAGCACTAGTTCTGAATACGGCTTCAGTATAATTAATATTTCAAATAAAAATTACAAATTTAAAATAACAATTTGATTATAAAACAGAGTGATGCAAAGTTGCTCGCAGTTAATCGTGGTGGAATCATTCAGTTAGGCACCAGTTCAGGTGGTGTTAAATATACTCGTCCTCTTTGTACAAGCCTTTAATCGAAAAAGGAACAACGCTGATACAATCAGTGAAAATACAGATAAATTGAGAAACATCGCATTTAGTGATGATAGAAAAAAAAAACTGAAATCAAATTTACATAAAATCTTCCCTGTAAATTACTGGATACTGATAAAAAGCAAAAAATCGCTCTGTACATTTATGAAATACTGACATCAGAAAACCGTATAGTCATTTTACAGTTAATAATAATGCTAAAATATATATAAATTTAATATTTAAATACAATATTGCACCCCTCCCTAAAGCAATTACATATATACAATAAACTTAAACTTAAAAAAAAAACGGACATATATAGCACATAGGTGGGCCACTGTTGTAGGTGAGAACTTGGGAGGGTAGAGATGAAATTTAATATATATATATATATTTATATATATATATATCTGTACGCAACGATTATTCATTGCTAACGAAAAACGATTCTGAGTCGATTTCAGTTGTACATGTTTTGAAAGGCCGTAATATGTACGATTTGAAAATAATACATTTTGTAAATTTTCTTGTTTTTCCCATTTATTATATGAAAACCTCTGGGAAAATTAAAAACGATCCCCCAAGTACCAACAAGATAAAATTTCCTTTCAGAAAAAGTACTACACTTGAAAATCGGAGTAAAATTTTTGGTAGAAAAATTGTTCACAGGAAAAATAAAATAAAAAAATTAACATCACTATAATACCGATACATTCCTCGCTCCACCTAGAATTTAAAAAAGTATAAGTACCTACATATAGTTTTGACCGAATCAATAATGATACTCATACAGTATCAAAGTATAGAAATACACAACCCTATAATACATATATATATACATGTGCACGGTACGGGGAGAAAATTCAGTCGTAATACCAAAACCGGGAAAAAGTCGAGAGGGAAACTACTATGAGGCGGGTGAATCGTTCTACATTCGCTGCGGGGGCAACACTGCGGTATCGAGCGCCGTCGACACTTTACTCACCGCGCCGTCGCCGCGCATCGTACGCGCCGACGGTACTCGTGTGTATTTATTACGCACACCCGTCATCGATCGCTGCTGCCGCTCGCCGCCCTCACCGCTGCCATCGTCACGCATACCATTTTCACCGGACCCGCAAAAAGTCGTCGTCGTACATCGTTCCCTTGGCACAGTTGCTACCGCAGCGTCCATCCTGTATAAACGTGCCACGCCGTCCTTGTTCATTCGCTGACTTAACAAGAATATTAACCGCAGTTAGATTATTGCAGTTATACGTTAGATTACCTAAATTGCAATTATAGATAACGAGCGACAGACGTATAGTTTTCCCTTAACAGAGAACACTCACGGGTGGTCGTGCTCCATTCAGGACCAGTGACCAATTTACCGCCACCACCATGGTCAAACATACTACGGATACGAACGGCATCGGGTACGAATGGGAATACGCTAAGGTAAAAGACGACAGAACCATATGGCAGAAGATCATCAACGGAATTTACAACCCGAGCTCGCATGAATTTCTCGGTCGGTCCGCCAAGAGCTGGGGTGAGTGTGTTAACTTTTATTTTATTTTACCACTTAAAGTTTAATGTCCCCTTAATCATAAATAATAATATTATATGCAAGTACCTAGGTATATTGTGTGGTCTAACTAAATGTGTGAGTTCCTTGGCACGTTTGGACGCTGCGTCTGGACGTCGCGTCTGGGCGTTGCGTTTGACACCACGTCTGGACGTTGCGTCTGGCCCGTTATAGAATAAATTATATAAGCATAAGTTCTTAGTAGTTATTTTAAGTGATACTATAAAGTACCTACATTAGTATAGTATGGTACTTATTTATTATGTTTATTAATTATGTAGTTTACTTATGTAGGTATCAGTATAAATATCAACTAATAATTATTAATTAAACTACCTTCCCATTGATCCACTACTTTCTATAAATCATAAAATATTTTAGTATCGAACATGTTCACTGTGCCATTGCTAATGTGAGTAATCAGTGTGTAGAATATAGGTATTTAACAGAATATTATGGCATTATGATTAATATGAATCAGTGGTGAAACGCTGCGTCTGACCCACGACACTGCTATCGTGACAGTGACGTTGCGTCAGACGTCTAGACGTACAGCGTCAGGCGCGCCTAGAAAATCAGTTCAAGAAAATACATGTCGTCAGTTACTCGCGTCTGACGCTGCGTCTAGACGCATTGTTCAGACGCATCTAAAAACGCGTACTTTAACAGATACGGATCTGGGCTTACATTTCATTTTGCCTTACGCAAAATAATGGTTCGCATATTTATAACACTGCATATTCTTAATGCCTAATTCTTATTAATGGATATAGGTACCAAAACATATACGTTTTTTTTGGACTTTGTAAAGCATCTAAATGGCTTCCACTGTGACCTCCGCTTTGCACCCGCGCCCACCGTACACCTTTTTGTGCACGGCGCACGCTGTTCTGGGACCCGTGGAAGACGTGTCATGGGCGGGTCGAAATTGATTTTCCTCATTCTCCCCCATCTCGTTCAGTAGTCGTACCTATGTATGTGTATAGCGACGTTAATATATAAATATGGACACTTTACAACGGTTAAATACAAAGGCGTAATTAATAATTGGGTCAATAATCGATTTGGCTATAAGATCGATGCAGCAGTGGCGGATCTTGGGGAAAGGGCTCAGGGGACCACTCCTACACAGCTAGTTGTAAAATTGTTTTCACTATAGAATATTCATCTCAATAAGGCATAATATTTTATTTTTTTCTTGAATTGCTAGTCCGTGGAGGCTGTTGTTTTCCTGCCGGGTTTGTAAGCTCTTTTAATGTCTTCATCTATGGATAATGATTATTGACATGCTAAATTGCTATACTGTTATTTTTGTGGTATATTGGACATAATAATAATCATGGTTGGAACGTATAATACAGTAAAGTATAAAACACGTATTATATGTATGTATAAAACGTACAGTATAAAACTATTAGTTGTATATATTTTATACTGTATATAATTATTATTTTTTTGGTTGCGATTGAACAGAAATTATCAGGTAAAATAATTTTCAATTGAATTTAATCATCATTTTATATATTTTATATTAACCACCTAAAATATATGTGATAATTTGTTACATTAATTACTTCATTTTTATTCTTTATTAATAACTACATTAATATGTATATTATCGAAAACGAAATTTTTTTGTTTTTATTTTATTCTACATTTAAGAAAATTCACCAAGTTCATGTTATTTGTTATATTTGTGTATGAGTTTAAATACTTATTAAAATTTAAAATGTACAGTGTTATCACTGTTATAATAAACTTAAAAAAAAAAAAAAAAAATAATAATAATAATAAAATAAAAAGATGTCCTAGGATAATGGAGACGGATGCAACAACTGTTATAGGTAATTTATTGTATATCTGTAAGCAACGATAAACCATTGCTAACGAAAAACAATTTTGAGCGCAGTTCAGTTGAGAGTGATGCTTTTCCAACAATATATGGTAAAATTTTATGTTAAAATTTATGGTAAAATAATTAAATAGGCTTTATACATTTTCTTAAATGATATTTGTTTAATGTTGTACCGATTTTCCCAATTTTCCTACGTTTTTCTCGGTTTTCTCATGTTTTATCCCGGTTTTTCAAATTTAATGAGAAAACTCCTAAAAAAATCGAAAAATTACATCCTTAAAGTACCTTCCCAGTCAAATTTACTTTCAGAAAAAATGCTATTATTCTAAATCGGAGCAAAATTACTGGTAGAAAAGTTGTACACAGAAAAAAAAGGCCATAATATTTTTTTACTAATACCTACATTTCGTACATTTTCCATTTTCAGACATTTTATCCCGGTTTTTCTCAGTTATTATGGAAATTGATTGAAAAATCACAAAAATGACCTACCTAAACCAAGGAGTTAAAATTTCTTTTCAGATTATAAGCTACCTATCTTTTCTACCTTGATACATGGAAGATATTTTTCGATTATAGTCATCCGAGCGATCGATAGATGGGTGTCTCTAGGTACACTTAAAATGCATTTGTTTTTTCCCTATTCAGATAAAAGGAGGAAAAAAAGTGCAAACAATTTCTTTTCAACTCCCGGATTCAAACCCGCGACCCCTAGTAGGACAATACATATTCATGACCATTTGAATACAACAAACGAATAATGTAAAAGTTAATATAGAGTTATTTAATATTACATTTAATATTTGAACTTCATAAAGTTATAATTTCGAAACTTAGTCAGTCCGCTTAATTCTGGTTTTATCATCCTTCTTACATCAGCAATTTACAGAAAAAAAAAAATTTAAAAATTAGATTTTTTCCACATAATTTTCTACTAAAACAATTTTCGTCAAAATGTTGTATTAAAATTCCTCTATAAAAACAAATACTACATTAAACTCAATTTTTGTTTACCACAAAGTAAGATTTAATGAACCTTCAGTTAATTTTTCAAGCATTTCTGTTAAGTCTAACAATTTTACTGCAGAGTATTTACCGCATAAAAATTACGTACACAACTCGCAAAATTAAAATGTTTATAAATAGCTCAAAAATAGCTTACATGTTTTGAAAATTTTACCACGTCTAGAAAAGTCAAATTACATTTTCTGTCCGAATTTTAAGTCCATAAACTCGATACGAATATTTATAACTGAATTTTAACAAAAATATTTAACATTTTTTAAAAAGCTTGAAAATAGCTCAAATATTTGAAAATTTTACTACATCTAGAAAAGAAAAATATAAGTTTTCTATTCAAATTACAACAATTGACAAAATTGAAAGATAATATAAGCATTATTATCGTGAATTTCCCGTTTTTCTTACTTTTTATCCTGGTTTTTCACAAATAATATGAAAACCGCTTGGAAAATCAAAAAAAGTATCAGAAATGGTGTTACGCGTATATATTTAAGCAAGATTTATGATCGAATTTTTCTACACACGATAAAATAAAAAAAAAAATATCTTAGTATAACCAATACTTTGCTACACTCAGAATCTAAAATTAGTCGTTATAAAGTTTTATATGTGTTATATATGTGGGTTATCTAGTATTATACGTGTAATGCACTGTAACATATACAAAGTTTTATATGCATATATTACCAACCCTAAATTAATAATAGTATAAAATAAAAAACGATAAATAAATAATATGAATTAGTAATATACATAGTTGTTTTATTGATGTAATCTAAATCAAAAAATAATAGATCATAATATTATAGACTACAGTTATATCTATACTCTGATTCTAAAGAGAATATAGCGCTTTCGCGATCAGTTTTCTTTTGACGGCACGCATCCCTAGCAGGTAGCACCGGTCACGACCATCCATGACAGGTGCTACCTGGTATGGATGCGTGCCGTATAGAACACAATTCCGTACGGTTCTTATCAGCGAACGGAATCATGCACAATTTAAGACACATTCCGTTCGTTTTTACCTAAGATTTTAGTGTAATGTTACCAGATTTTTATAACAGGGCTTATTCTAAAGCGCATTCGGGCTTATTTTGCACATTTGGATAGTGAAGACGCGCACTTCATAATCAATTTTCGAGTAATTGAGTTATATTAATAATATTAACAAGCATAAAAACAAATAATAAATACTATTTGTAGTAAATAGTAATTACATGTAGTGAACAATAAGATATTACTAAACATGTTTAAATCACATAATCAACAAAAATTTGATTCACCAACATATAATAAAATATTTGTCAAGTATTTGTAGTAAAAATGTGTATACAATTTATACTATTTAATTGACAAATTTTTAACTTTTTTAATAATAAATAATAAATGGTAACATTGCTCAGAAAATTGTATGGAATCGTGTTGTTTTTTTGGCTCATTTTGACAATCCATTGTTTGAACAAAATCGTATGGAATCGTGTTCCCAAAAAGGTAAAACGTATGGAATCATGTGTGCCACCGAACGAAAACTGGACGCGAAAGTGGTATGTTCTCTTTTGAAATAGGGTATACCTAATCGTGAATATTCCGGTGATTTTATAAATAAATATTGTTACAAAGTGAATAATATTATACCCTGGTTATAAATATATATAAACTAAAATATGCACCATTGTCCAAGTTGTAACTTTATACGCTTATAATATTATGTTGTTGTTCATTCCTCATGGCATTCCTCTGAGTAATGCTAATTGACTTTATTAAAATATTTTGTACAAATAGTGGAAAATATCTATTTTAGAAGTAATAATAAATTAATAAGCAGGTTTCAGTTATAAATAATTTTGATAAATACTTTCCAAAATGTTGAACGAGAAACCGTGGCCGAAAAGAGTGCATTAAATTTGGGCAAATAGAGGAAATTAATTTATCATATTTGGGTGAAAAGAAGCCCACCCAGTGGATGTGTGTGTAGTAAACTGACTAGTTTAAACATTTATAAATTCCATGAAATTAAATATCTTTAAACTGAACCAGTATAATAACTAATAGCTGGTACTTATATACGAGTAAAAATCGTATATATTATCATTGATTATAAATACTATTTATAATCAATGATATTATGTATATAAATTATGAATTTTTAGTTTTGTTATTATTATTGTGATTATTATTCATATTAAAAATTTAAAAATGAACATTACATTCGAACCATATTCAGGCAACCCAAAATGTTTGGTCTATGTAATGGTTTATCGTTGCTTATAGATATACATTAAATTATTGTCTGTAACCTATACTTTCTCAACTTTGTACCTATAACAGTGGTTGTACAACATTTACCCATTCACACATGTGAAGTATGGCCCGTTTTTACTAATATTTTTTTTTACACTAATTTTCATAATTTTGTGATCAGTTATTAATAATAACTATTATAATAGCCTTTTGTATCGCATAACCGATATTTCGCACCTTAAAATAGAGTAAATTAATTTGTTTTCAATATAATTCTATATTGGTATCTATATCATAATTTATTAACTTTATTTATTTATTTCAGTCAAATCAATTAAAAATCATTAATTACAGTGAATTACATTAATATTATTAGCTGATACGTACACCGACTGAGCAATAGCTCGTAAGTGATATACGGAGTTCATGGATATTATTCAATATATAATATTATTATTGATATAGTAGATATGTATACAATTAGAATACAACTTAATAAAACTTAAAATAAAAGTAACAATTGTTTTTTTTTTCTAACATAATTTAAGGTTTAAATTAATCAGCGTTAGATAAGGAAAGATTATTTTTAAATTTATTTATTATCTTTTTTATTAGATTTGTATTAATTATATTAATATCATTGGTATTATTAAATTGACTATTGCATACAATTTATATTAGATTTTTTACAACGTTATTTAAACTGATGAATATAGTTTTACCCATATGATAGGGGGAGATTCTTGAACTAGTTAATAATGTAAATGGTGGTTTAATATATTTTTCTGTTCTTCTGTCTATTATATATATAGTGTTAAGTGTGTAGTTTGGAATGAATTTTATTAAAATTTATCTAATATACCTGTAGTTTATAAACAGATAATATATTTGTTAAGTTCAATAATTCCCCTGGTGAAAATTTTAATGGAACGGAGTACGCTACTTTTACAATAATTTCTTGAATTTAATAATTATTACATTTGAATTAAGCCAATCGATAAACGTTTTCGAAACCATCTTTGTTGACCATTAAAATTTATTCTGAATGGAGCGAAGAAGCTTATGGTTTCATAAAGAAAAGAAATACCTTCCCAGTCAGTTTTTCTTTCAGAAAATATGCTAACTCTGTAAATTGAAGCAAAATTGCTGGTAGAAAAATGGTTCAGAGGGGAAAAAAAGGCAAAATATGATGTTTTAACTAATACCTATTTTCGTACATTTTCCCGTTTTTCCTCGGTTTTTTTTTCGGTTTTTCACATTTGATAAGAAAACGCTTAAGAAAATCGAAAAATTACCTACTTAAGTACCACCTTAAGAAAATTTCCTTCTAGAAAAGAGTCTACACTCTATACCGTATACATCGGAGTAAGCTTTCTGGTAGAAAAAGTGTTCACATAAAAAAAAAATAAACATTTTTGTAAAACCAATACATTTTTCACTAAACTCAGATTCTAAAATACTTATATATTTATTTCGTTTACTATCGCATAAAAATTCGTAATATATAGTATAATGTGTTCGGTTTAATGTTTACACATTAATTAACCATTGAATTATGTAAATTAAAACTATTACCTATAAATTATAAGAAAAAAAGATGTATACGGCAGCGACGTTATAATACGAGTATTATCTCCTTAAAATAACAACAAGAGTTGGGTTGCGTCTAGTATACCCATTTAGGAATCGAAAAGTGTATACCAAATAAAAATAACAGCCATTATACAGTAAGTCCTCGTTTAACGTTGAGGTTAGGTTCCTGGAAAGCACAACGTTAACCGAAAATCGCTAAGGGAAATACTTTTTCACTTAATTATAATGGGTTCCAACTAATAAATAACAATGTACATTTTATTATAATTATTAAAATTGCACGATTTAATTATTTTTCAGCATTGCTTTTGATAGTTGGTGTAAGAAAATAATGATTAGCAATGCCCACTGTTCGCTCATCAGGTTCAAAACGTTTTATAATGTAATTTTTGTAGAAAGAATTATAGTTATCTGATTTTTTAAAATCGGTGTTTTGTTGTCATATTAATTATAAATGAATAAATATTGAAATATGTAACAATAAAATAATATGAAATAGTAATATAATGTACGTACACGAAAACTGTACAGTCAACAACAAAAGTGTCGTTGAACAAGTGACTATCAATAAAATGAAAAACGATTACAAAGTACATATAAGTTATTACCTAAAATAATTAAAAATAGTACCTACGTATGATAAGTATGCCAATCAAAACGATAACAGTATTATCTGAAAAAATTCGACGAAATTAAATAACTTATAAAAAATATATAGGTATAAGTAGTAAATACATTACTTATAATAAAAATTTGATGAATACATGTATTACAAACGACGTTATACAGAAACCGTTGCAGTGTTAAATGAAACACTAGGACTTACATTTCTATGACGCAATAGCGAAACAACGTTAAATGAAGTGACCTTAAACGAGGAACTACTGTATTTACTTAAAAACGAGTAGTCACGCAATCAAGTTCCAAAAAACTTCATCTTAACATTTGTCTACAGTGTAGACAAATGTTAACAACGTTAATCCATATAATTTTCGAATTTTGACGCCCAGAAAACAATTTTGTTTCCATTGCAGATTTGGCCAAACATACAAATGTAGAGCAGCTTGTTTCTTAAATGTTCTAGAAAACAAATTCCTGAAAAAGTTAATACTTTCCGAAATAATGAGTGTACCCACTTAAATGGATCAGCTAGTAGAAAAATAATTATTAAGGACTGCAACATTCTCGTATATGATGATAATTTATATTTACAATTTACAGGTTGAAATCATACGAAAGCAAAAATAAATATTTGTACACAACTAATATTCTAATTATTATTTTGAAAAAACTATATTGTCATCTGCAGTTTTTTTATAATAGGTATTTTGCGAAATAAAATATTTTTAAGCGGTGGGAATATCCCCTTGTGAAAACATAATCAATGTTGTTATTTTTAATTTGGTGAAATAATTTTTGTTTTAAGTCTAATAGAGACTACATAATAAATATTGGAAATAAGAAAACGCGTTTTTGCTACATTGCCTGTAAGATAGACAGAGTCTATGTAGCATCCTCTTAACAAAATCGGTTAGATATGCACGTACCAATTGACGCTGACATCATATTGCTAGGAAGTTATAATAGGACAATTTTCGTCAAAATGTTAACTTAAAATGTTTTTTAAAAAAAAACTGTGTAAACACGAGTATTCATAAACGTGTATCAAATTTTCAAACATATTTGCTGGGTCATAAAATTATGTTCACATAAATCAAAAAATAGCCAAAATTTGCACTTATAATAATTATAAGATCGTGAATTTTTTAAATTTGTATAGTGCCATAAAACAACTTATGATGTATTACTTATGGCCTTGTATTACTTTTCTAAGCAGTATTTTTGAGGAATTAAAAATTGGTGTCTCTATAAAATCAAATAAAATTCCAAAATCACAAAAATTTCAATGAACAGCTAAAAAATCACTGGAATATTTTGAAAATTGTACTACATTTCTTAAGGACTAATACAAGTAATTGTTGAAAATTTTAGGTTTCTGCGGTTATTTTTAACTGAATTTGAAATTGAAAGTAACAGAAGTCTTTTTACATTAGTATTTCCGTTTTTTTGCGGTTATCGCCTAACAAAAACTAAAAGAAAAATCAAAAAATGACGTTCTCCAATGCATCAACTAGACAAATTTCTACATTTCACACACACACACGCAAGCATACAAATATATATAATTATGAAAAAAAGCACACATACTAGTAAAACGTGTTCTCATTATATTATATTATATTATTATTACATTGTATTATATAATAGTATATTTTGATACTGTTGGACGGTTTACTACCGCGTGTCATTTACTAAATAATGTTTATTTATTATGATTTTGTACACTCTCCAGTAAATAATTCGGATAAAAGCACACTCGGCAGTATTTGGAGAACGTGCGCATTTAATGTTTACTTTGCTCGCTCATTGTACGAATAAACGTCGTTGCCAATACCGTCTAAGAATAGATGAAAAAAAAAATTAAAAACATCGACGCGTGTGCGCACGCACCTATATATACACTATATGTACTTAGGTATTATAATCCCGTTTAGCAATATGCATAATATGCTTCGTGCGTCTTGTGGTGATTTCGTGTAGTTGGACTGAAAAACTTGCTAAGTATAGAACAACCTCCGTCCGTCTCGTGGTGTGAAAATATTTTACTATAGTGTATGTTTTGTATGTTACGTGTCGATTTTAGTGGCACGAAACAATTAATTGAACAAGATGATTTTATTACAATTTATTTAAGTCAAATTTAATATAACTAGAAATTATGTTCAATTTCAATATTAAAATGAGTGTTGTTTCGTCTGGCGTGAAAGTGTTTTACTTAAACCTAGATGAAACACGATTACCGAGGGTCCTTTCCAGGCCTCCTTTTAAAAGGCTTATCGTACATGATTGATTGATTTTGAGTGACTGTAATTTACCGGATTCGCGTAGAAATAGATTTATCACCCAGGTCAAACAAACATCGCACGATTGTCCATGCGTGCATTTTTTTAATAATGCTTACGCGAGCGTTTATCGACATTATTATAATTTCATAATATTGTATAATATAATATGATATTACATTATCATAATAATATCGATTTAAAATATTCATATACTTGGGTACACGATACAAGTTTAAAATACATGTGTAGGTATATCATAGGTAAGAATATGCACCACATGTAATATGTAGGTACACATTCCATGTGTTCCTCGATAACCTCGATTATCAATCAGATGAACAATCGTGTGTTTCATCTGATTGAATGTTAAGAAACACCAATTTGTATTAAAACGCAAAATGCTCTATTACGTGATCTATAGAATTATGTGATAATATATGTTAACCTGATAACATATAAATATATTATATTATATTAAATGAGATTATAATATAAATATTAGATAAATATAATATTGATATTCATTATTAAATTTAACGAACATAATAAAATGGAAAATGGAAAAAAATATTTAAACATTATGGCTAAATGTTGATAACACCAAATAATTGTGATAACACATTTACATCGTCTAGCAAACCAACTATTTTGTTGATTGATGATCCGATGCATCGAGAAGCAATCTGATTAGTGATCAGATTAATTGAATTTGATGAGGAACATCGAAATTCATCGGATTGTTCAATATAATCTAGATAATCTAGCTTATCGAGGAACACACAAATTGTACACTGTCTCAAACATTTTTCACCCGAATGTTTCGTGTTTTCACGTCTATATAACTTAGTGTATATTGTAGAATGTAAAAATATTATAATAGGGAGGGGGATGGTAAACTCCTACAAAATTAGGTATTCTCCTACATTGACATAGTGTTAACAAAAGATAGTGTCAACTCTTACACTAGGTAGTTGTAAAGTTGTAAAAAGTAAAATTAGGTATTTTAAAATAAATAAATTAAAAATAAAATCATAAATTACAAAAATCAAAAATATTATATTACAAATTTTTTTTTCTAATTATTAAAATAGGTAAATGCAGTGTAATGAATTTATAATATTAACTAGGTACCGAACAACACGTGCATAAATCAAGAGAACAAACACTGTTAAGGTACGGTTTCCAAGGCGCGACTGGTCGCTGAGACCAGTCTCCGGTGACGTAAAGAAAACCGTCAAATTCTGTAACTGTATTCAGTATCATTGAGGTTTTCGTGCAATGAGGGCTAGTGTTTTAAAGTTAAATTGTATATTTACTGCTATGAGTATGAATACAATTATTAATAACAATAATAAAATAATGTTACTTCTTCTTGAAGAAGAGCAAGAGGATGATGATTTATTAACTACAACATAATGCGATCAGAGAGAAAAAGTTGATGCTCTTTCCCTTAATAGAAAAAGTGAAGGATACTTTAAAATTTGAATAAATAGACATTTAATACGAAATGAAACAAAATTTCGCGAGTTTTTTCGTGTTAATAAAAACCATTTCGATCAGTTGTTCTTCTTCTTCTCCCGAAAAATGCAATTTAGCCATATTGCTGTACGGGACAGTCGAAATACACTACCCAAGAGCTGGTTTGTGAATGAAATAAATCAACGGTCGCGCGCGACAGTCGCAATACACTGCTCTCGGACCGGTAGTGTCACCGGTCGCCACGATAAAGTTTAGTCGCGCGTTCGAAACCAGTCAATAGGAATTACATACCAACAGTCGGACGGCGACTGGTTTCCGCGACCGGTCGCGCCTTGGAAACCGTACCTTTAGGAATAATATAGTTTTTAAATTATTTTGTTCTGCGATTGCTGGTATTGATGCTATTGAACCTTTTATCTATCTGTGAGTGGCGAAAAAAAGAGTTAGAGATTGTTGTATTTCCAATTTACGTAAATAACGTAGACTTTATCGAAATGTTCGAGAATTTCCCATACGATTTTATTTTACATTTTATTATCTTACATTCGAATACGTGTAAACTCCTACAAAAATGACCTTTTTACTTGTATTGAAAACATAATAAAAACTTCTACATAGTCCCTTTTTATCTGCTAAAAATAGATGGTGTAATCTCCTACACAGACATATTTACATTTTAGATTCTAAGTGTAGCGAGGAATGTATATTGGTTTTACAATGATGTTTATTGGAAATAATTGCACTTAAGTGGGAAAAAAACGAATGATTTTACGATTCTGTTATTTTTAAATAAACACACACGAAGTTTTATACCAGAAATAGTTCTCTAATGGAAAAATGACAAGAGACATTTTTTGTTACATTTTGGATAAATATTCATAGAAACTTTCGAATGGAAAATAAAATTTAGTAAACATATGAATGTAAGGCATCGTATCGGAAATTCTCGAACATTTCGATAACGTCTACGTTATTTTCGTAAATTGTAAATTCAACAATCTCTACCTTTTATTTTTGTAGTTTATGACTGATTTTTACTTATTTTAATATACCTTATTTTACTTATTACAACTTTACAACTATCTAGTGTAAGAGTTGATACTATCTTTTGTAGGAGTTTACCATCCCCTTATAATATAGGGGCGATTTGATTATTTTATCAAGGTCTTTCCCCAACCTCATCCCGTCAGAGCCTTTTACAAATAATTTGTTCATACAATATTTATTTAACTACTATCGATTTTTACAAAATGCATTAAACATTTTTTAAAGAACTATTAACACATTAGCATATTATTATCTACCTATAAAAATGTGTTATTGAATGAAAAATAAATAAATTGTATTACTATACTGTGACAAAGAATCAAATTTTCCAATGGTATCAATGTTAGTGTTTAAACCAACTTTATATGATTAATTGGAACGACAGAGTTGCATATTAAGTCAACAACAAATGTCTTTGATTTTTGTGAATGGATGTAAACCTGAAAGTCGTATAGATAGGTAATTTAAAAAGTGTAGACGAAGTGTAATTTCGAGGTAAACTAATTTCGTATTTTCATGTTAGTTAATAAAAATAGTTTAAAATATCTATTTTTATTTGTGACTTTTGGGTGTATATTGACATATTTTTATCTATATCATAAGCGATACTTGGTAGAAAACCACGTGAATGCAAACGCTTATTATAATTTACAAATCCGTAGGAGGCTTCGTTCTCTACAACCCTCAATATATTACTAATATTTAACCAGCACTTATACATTATGAGTAAAAAATAAAGATTTTATCAAATTAAAATTTCATGTTATGTTGTCAAAACATCATCAATTATAAAATCACTAGGCATTTGGACAAATGGCCAATGGGTACAAGTAAGTAAGCATATACCTACATTCAACTGATTTTGGCATCAAAAGAAATACTATCATTTTTCAAAATTATTTATTTAAATTGCATAATTAACAAATATATAATTTGTCAGCATAAATAATAACAGTTAATTATATACGATTAGATAGATATTAACACATATAATACCTATATAAAACAATACCGGTTTATTATACTGTTATTTTAGTTTCAAATAGTGACCTCTTTTAGAAGTTTCAGCACCCTATTTGTTAATTATATTTTCAAAAACGATAGAATATTTCTTTTTGAATATATGAGACTGCTAAACTGCTTAATCTTTTTTGGCCCATTGTGACTTATTGTGCGTTTTTAATCGCCTAGAGCTGAGAAACTACATTCATTAGGACTAGATGTCTATGATAGGTAATCACGGTTATATATATATTTACACTGTCGGCTTGGTCAAGACAGCTAGACAGCGATCGCTGCCCGGGTCTCTAGTTTTTTTTTTTTTACCATAGATACACGGAGTACATAGGTAAATTATTATTTATAAATAATCGACACACAAACAAATCGGATTTTTCCCAAATAAACGAGCAATTGTCGATAAGATAAATTTTGGGTTTAGAAAAATATAGGTACCTATACAGGGTGCAGTTGTACAATAACTGTGTCAAACTTCAGGAGTTATTTCTACACCTCAAATGCAACAATAATATAATATAAGTAAGTAAGTAAGTAGGTATAAGCAAGTTTAATATATTTATAATCAGAAAAGTTCTCTGATTGTTGTCTGTGGGTGCAAAATGATACTCTTTTCCCCCTCAAAAAATTGTAGTGGTGCAAGTGCGCCCTCATGGCCCCTCCGGTCCAAATGCTGCCACTGATCTACATCAATAAATTTTCAAATACCTTTCATACACTCTCATCAAAATAAGACAAGCCATTATAAATATTTACGTGGACTAAGTCACGGGTAACAGCTAGTAGTATTGATTTTATGAGACATAAAAATAAATACTGAATGTAGTGCAGTTGTAGTGAATTCTTATGTTTCTTACACAAACCATATTTTATCTATCTATTCTATTCTATTCTATCTGCTCTTATCTATTATCAGTATATAATAGTATTAATGATTGTAATATATTGTACAATAATAATAATATTAGTATATTATGTTATTAAAAGCATACACAGTTTAGATTAAATGTACAATAATTATAAAGTAAACAAAATAAAATTGTTCAAAACAACATATAAAAAAATGACAACCCCACCAAAAAAGTAAGGTTTGTGCTCGGAATGATTTAAAAAATACGATAGTTGTAACTTATTAAAAAAACTTATTGTAGACAAAGGATAACTACATACTCATTAAATAAAGCAGAAAACGAATACAAATAGGTATGCAAATAGTTGGCTAACATTGACAAAATCAATATTTTGTTTTAAATCTAGGAATATCCATATTAACTTTTTTACATAAATCAATTCCTACAATAACCGTATTGAATTCCCCAAATTTTGTATTAGGTAACTTTAATATAATTTAAATTACTTAGTTTTTATGCGTATATTGTAAACATGATAAGGTTTAAATATCACCAGATTATTATTTTTTTATAAAATAGATAGCCTAGAGGCTTTTAAAAAATTATTTTTATTATTAACTAACTCATTGTAGTCTCTAAGCCCACGAGATGAGTTATTGTATGTTTCACCCCAAACTTCTATAACTTCATAACTACTAATTGACTGGACAAGTGATAAATAAACTATTTTTAATATTCTTTATTAAATAAACTAATGTCTATTTATAAATAAATGAAAACAATTTGTGTGTATTTCAGGAGGTATTTTGCTCTTCTACGTCGTGTTTTATTCAAGTTTAGCTTGTATGTTTGCCATCTGTATGAAAGGGCTGCTGTCTACACTCAATGATCACACGCCTCATTTCACCTTGACCAGCTCTATCATCGGTACAAATCCTGGTACGTAAACATAATTCTCTTTTCAGCTATATAAAATTAACCATACGGCGAATTTTGGTATTCGTGCTCTGTTTTATAATATATTATTTTATAACTGCATCGTAATTTATTTATAATATAAGCCTTAAGCGCAATCATTATTTATACATATTTTTTTTAAGGATTTTAAGACTAAATAAGGTCAATCTCAAAGAGTGAATAATATAATAACGTATTATAACATTTACCAAGTACACATAAGCATTAAACAGGTGCACTTATACTGCAAAATCTATAGGATGAATAATAGTATGTAATAATAAGAATATAATAGGTTAGGGTAAAATGGTAAGTATATTAAAATGTGTATAGATTAACTGTACACATTTTAAATATATAATAGATAATACATCAGTAATTGTTATTTATCAAAAATAAAATAAGCTATATGTATTGTTAAACTAGCGATATACGAGGTATGGCTATTAAATAACGAGACTGCTCGCCTAGAGGGCGCCCTAAATGGATAGTGAAAACAACGAGTAATGCGTTGGGTATCTAGATATCTTATCTATGCACGTACCAAAACACATTTTCGTCACTATTATAGTATTTGTGCAGTAGTGGTTTGAAACGAACGTGTTTTTTTCTCGTGCCGAAAACCATGTGTGACGAAAAACATGAGCAACGGATAAACGTAAAATTTTTTCGTTAAACTAAAAAAAACTCCAACTGAGTGCTATAAGTTGTTAAAAGAGGCCTATAGTGAGGATTTCCTATCTCGGGCGCGTGTTTTTGAGTGGCATAAATTATTTTCTGAAGGTCGAGAGTGCACCGGAATCCAATTCAGNCAGAGGGTCAAACTGTGAACCAACATTACTATTTGACAGTTTTGGCAACATTGCGCGAATGAGTTCGTAAGAAACGGTCGATATTGTGCACCAGGATAATGCACCTGCCCATAACGCGCTGTCTGTGAAGCGTTATTTGGCCGCTTAAGGCTCTCCAGTACTCGAACACACGTCTTACTCACCCGACTTGGCACCCTGCGACTTTTACTTGTTTCCGAAGATAAAGTCTGCCTTAAAAGGAATCCGATTTGAGTCGATGGAAGAGGTGAAACAAAAATCGGCGGGACTCCTGAATGGTCTTACGAAAACAGACTTCCAGCACTGCCTCGAGCAATGGAAAAAACGAATTAAACGGCGTGTGGCGAGGGGAGGGGAGCATTTGAATGTAGAATAACTTTTATAATAAAACACTTTTTAGTAACCAGTCTCGTTGTTTAATAGCCACACCTCGTATTATTTACATTAGCTATCTACATTATTTAATTGATTCAACGGATTAAAAAGTAAAAAATATTAATATACAGAGAAAAAAAATCACTAGGTATCGATCTATTTGGTATTGAGTATAAAGTCGAATATATATGTTTTACAGGACTCGGATTTCGACCAATGTCCCCGAATGTCGAGGACGGATCACTGATTTACTATGAAGCAAACAACCTAACCAATATAAAAGGGTGGACTGTTGAGTTAGACAAGTTCCTAGCTGGTAAGTAGAAAATAAAAACTATTATGTTACATTGTTAAAGAGGATGTTATACCTGCATAGACGCCGTGCACTTTGCACCAGTGTGTTTTACACCCATCACCTTTTTCGTGCGTTTTGCACCCATTATATTTTTCGTGTTATTTCCGCTAGTTATTGAAATCTTTACTTACTGAAATTATATAAAGTGGACTATTCACTTAAAATTTAAAATTATATAAAATTAATATTATATAATATAATCGTATAAAATAGTCATATTATAGTTTTGATTCAGATTTCTGAACAAATGATAACTGACAGATAGGTTAGTTATCTATATAATTATATTTCACGTAATTTTATACGTATGGATTTTCTATCATAATTATATAATATAAACTATAAGTCGATATAGGCTTCGGATAACCAATAACCATATTATTATTATCGATCAAATTTTCATTGTTAAGTGTTAGTAGTGTTTTGACTTTTGTTGCGTTACGTTCGGATTTCCAAATAAACAAGGAAACGATAGATTATAATAATTTGACAATTTTGTACGATTATATTATATTATACTAATTTTATATAATTTTAAATTTTGAGCGATTAGTCCGTTTTATATAATTTTAGCAGGTAAAGATTTCGATAACAGACGCAAAACGCACGAAAAAGGTAATGAGCGCAAACGCATGGGCGCAAAGTGCACGCCACACCCGCATGTGCTGTCTCAGTTCAACTAACGGGCGATATAGCAAAATCTACTTTAAGCAGACTGCGTAGAACACTAGAACTCGCTTAATTTTAGTTTTAGAGTTAAATTATTTATTATAAAATTAAAAGAGTATAATATTCCGGAATGCAAGACGACGAGTTTATTTTTTTAAATATTACAGTCATTTAAAAACGGAGAATTGTTTTTTATTTCTAAATGATATATTGAACATTATATCCGGAATAATAATAATAATAATAATAGGAAAAACGCTTCGTCTTGCACTCCGGATTATTGTTCTATTCTAATTTTATAATAGGTACTTTTAATCTAAAACCAAAATTAAGCGAGTTCTACGCAGACTGCGAAAGGTAGATTTTGCTATAACACCCGTTAGTTGAAGTCAGACAGCACATGCGGGTATAGCGTTCTCTTAATGTACCTAATCCACATTGGGTATGTTATTTTCCTTGTTAACCTCGTATTTTAAGATTTTTAAAAATCGAAATCAATTTAATTATGAAACCATATATTTACGTATTCTTGGGGGAGGGGCAGGATGTGTGGTAAAACTAAAAATCTATAAGGTATGAAAAAGAGGGGGCTACATAGATCAATAGATATTATAGTTTATTAGTTAGTAATAGAAAAGATTAAAATATTAAACAAAAAGTATAAAGCATACATAAAACAATACATAATAACTTTTTCGGTGTTGAGTGAATTTCTCAATTCCTTTCTTCCAATTTTTAAAACCAACATAAGTGAAAGTCTTTTTCAGCATTTTTAGTAGAAAATACTCTGCAGTAAAACGAAACGTTGCTTGTAAATGCTTACTGAACTCGATCCATGGAAATTGGCTACACCATTCAATTCTAAATAATCTAACATTTATCTTGATAAATTTAACAACTATTGGTTAGGCATTTATTTTCAATAAACAATGTAATTTCTGATGTTTTACTAGCAAGATCATGCATTGATTATTAGTCATACAATTACCATATATTCAAAATAATAATAATAAAATACAATAATTAATTCTAGATTTCTGTGGTTTGTAATGTATAGTATACCTAATTTAATATTTTTAATGTTAAAGTTGCGTTTAAAACAATAATAAACATAGAACATAGACAACAACCAATACAAACATAGACTTGCCAGAACTAACTAATAAATAAAAAATGATCTGAGCTTCTAGTATTATTTTTACTTGTACCAAACATTATAAAATTCATAAAAATTTGAATGTTAAAACAATATACTTTTGAATAAAATAAATTAATATCAAATATTATTTACCTTCTGCGATATTCCAAATTTTTTGACAACTAGATACTTCTGTAATGTATTTTTCTTATTGGCCCAATGACGTATTTAGGGGAGGAGATATAAAGGGCTTAGATCCTGGGCGGTAAATTTTGGAAAGCATTTTGATATATATTATAGGTTTTTTGAATATTAAAAAAAAATAATAATAATAATAGTAATAATGTTTTTGCATTCTGTGATAATATCAGGACATGGAAAAGTATAATATAATGGTTACTGGTTTAAGATATTATATTTTATGCTGTGCTTAAAATTATTATTCTTATCATACTTTATAGAATTGTTTTTTATTTATATTTTTTAAATTTTTTAATTGATTTGTGAATAATTGTGATAGTGACCCAGGTTCAAACTTTCAATGTGTTTTAAAATTTTAATTTTTTTTTGTTCTTTATTTTCTAGAAAACAACAATTCCTAACTTAATATACAATTTTGTACTATTTATGCGTTTTGTATAATTTATAATAAATGCACCTACTATATTCTTACGTATAATGCTTATATTTGTATATCAATGAATGTATTTTTTATACACACCTAATATGCTTTTTAGATTCCGAGTATAACGAAGAATGCATTGATTTATGTTTACCTAGTTATAATAAAGTTTTTGGCCAAATTGGTTTTTTAAATGATGGTCTAGATCTAAAACTATGCTAAAAATTAAATATTAATATAAATCATTTTTGTGATTTGAAGTCTTTCAAAAATGATGTTAAGATTTATCTAGTATATAGTTTATATTAGTAACTTTTAATACTGTGTATTTACTTATGCTATAGTTTTCTATTTTTATTTTAACCTTTTTTTTAGTTTTAATATTGTATATTTTATATTCTAATATCAATTATCACAACATGTTATTTTATGTAAGTACAATTGTAATTGATAAGAACCGCTCTCCAGCACAAGCTTGGCTCATGGGGATGCTGAAATCTAATTTGTGTGTATTGTCTATTAAATATATCACCTGTTGTTTTTTTGCAAAATATATTAATACTTATAACTAATGTGTTTTACAAATATATTTCTGAAGAAATTTGGGTTGGGAGGGAGGGCGTTTATTTTCTTACCTGAAGCGCAAAATATTCAAATACGTATCTGCGATTGGCCTGATCTAAAAACAACATACATAGTGTATCAAATTAATATATTTAATTTATAATTTATAAATACATATACTGAATAATTTCTAAAATACTAATTATTTCATGAGAAAATTTGATTGGAAACTGATATACAAGGTTAGGATAAAACTTAATTGCAGTTTACGTTTTCCTGTTCATCGAATTTAAAAACTATTTTTATAGATTCCCGGTATTTTTCCCAAATCGAATGTCCCGAACACCCTTTTCCTTCGGGAAGGAGGATGTTCAGGAAATTTAATTCTGGAAAAACTTCGAAAACCATTTCTATACAATTTTACAATACCAATATTTTATATATTTTTCATCAACTATCAATTTTACGACTACATATTTCAAAGGAAATTAAAGGTTCCTGATTTAGTTTTATTTGAAATAATTCAAATAAATAAACACATTCATATAAAGAGTTAGAAATTTAGAATTACAATATAGAATATGACTGAGTATTAGACGATAAACATTGGTATAAAATATTAATTATTTAAAGACGGTACAGTATAGCGTAATAATATTATATCGCCTAAAACATTTTCAGTGTACAAAAATAAGACCCTGTTACCAGACAAAGGTAGTAATCAACAAAAGTGCGGATACCACATTCCACCACAAAAGGATAAAGTATGCGAAGTCCCTTTGGAGAACATGGGACCATGCACGTCCGACACTAACTATTATTTTTCAAAAGCTCAGCCTTGCGTTTTCATTAAGCTTAATAAGGTGGGTTGCTTTTCTATATTTTTATTCATCTTTAGATAAGTCGAAACATTTTTAATTCTGTTGGGCATATTTAGATTTTCGATTGGATACCAGAATTCTACAATAACATAACAGACATTCCAAATGAAATGCCGAGTGCGCTCAAACAAAAACTCTCAACAATTCAAAGCTACGAGGTAAACATTTAAAATTAAGATATACTTATACTTTTTTTGTCAGAAAATCATGGATAGAATAGAATATTATTGTTCGTATTGTGTTTATATCTATTTTTAGTTTAACACAATATGGGTTACTTGCGATGGAGAAGCACCGGCGGACAAAGACAACATCGGGCCATTGAAGTTATATCCGCAGGATGGATTTCCCGGCTACTATTATCCGTACAGAAACAAAAAAGACTACCTAAGCCCGTTGATCGCTATCCATTTTGAAAATCCAAAAAGTGAGAACGTAGATAATAAATACTATTATACTGTGAATCTGATTTAACCATCTATTTGTTCCCTGGGAATTAATCGTTAAGTCGTAATAGGTACCTACTAAACCAAAAATACTTAATTTCTTATGATAGTATATTGGATGGACAAAAATAATTTATCTTGTATCAAATAACTCATCAAAATAATAATAATATATGAATATTGTATAGTAGTTCGGTGAACAGTAAACGTATATCTAGCGAGTATCCCCGTTGGGCAAATGTGAGGCGATTGGAGGCAAACAAATTGCGAACAAATTGGGCAGATCTGCTTCGCATATATCTGTTTCACCTATTCAGCTCTTAAGACTTGTTTGCTCGGTTAATTATTTTAAGTACCTACTTACTATTTGTGTAAAAGTCATAATCAAAATATAATTAAAATACGATATTAAAAATATTGTACCTCTACCAAGTGATAATTTTCAATTTGATCCGCGACTATTGTTATTTTTTATCTTTTAGAACACACTTTGATCAACGTGGAGTGTCGTGCTTGGGCCAAGAACATTTTTTACAAACGTAGCTTGCAGAACCGCGAGGGTTCTGTTCACTTCGAACTGATGATCGACTAAGTTGCAGCACATACATAATAATTAACAGTTACATTACTTGTTCTCAGTTTTTCGGAAAGTCACGAAAAAATGCAAAAATGCAGAACATAGCACCAGATTGTTTTAAAACTATATACTTTAGTTGAAAAGTTCCATTAAAAGCTGTTATTAGATTTAAGTATTAAAGATTATTGATTTTACAGAGATAAAATTTAACTTTAGATTTAATTTTATTGTTGATTTTTGATTTTAAGTAGGTATTTGTATAAAATTAAAACACTCTAAAGCTACTAATAAACACAATTTGATATGAAAAAAAAACAAATATTAGGTATATAAATGGACAACCTAACAATATCCGTTTGCCAATTTTTATACTGTAGTGGTTTAAATATCATTGTTAGTTAGGTTATTATTATTATATCGCTTTTATATGGTTTAAAATACAGGATAAACCCCAAAAAAATAAGAGCAAATATTATTTGAAAACCTAACGTAGGAAGATTTATAATTATAACTTGAAAGTACCTACTTGCAAATATTATAATATAGATAAGGAGAGTTTAAACCTATCGTATTGAAACAATATTATATAATAGTCACATAATATTTTATATCTTATCTTTTTAATTTATTTCTTTTTGTCGTCTTCAACGTGTTTAAGTATCATGTAATAATATTATTATTAAAGACGATTTTATGTCAGTGCAATGCTTTTTATCCAGCTTATGTAGCAAAGTACATGACGATGCATGTATTATAAAATTATAACATTATGTTAGTGTTTGAATGAAAATATATCCATTCATGTCAAATCGATGTAGGTAATAATAATATTATATTATGGAACGGAATAATCGCATTTGAGAAACTAAAATTATTATTATTATTGTTTATTAATATTATTATTACTACTTTTAAATTATTATTACTACTTTTAAATTATTATTACTGTTGTTATATATATTAATAAAAAGAAAAAATTAGATATATTTAAACCATGCTAATATTAACCGTAATATGTTGTAAATTGTCGTAACAATAATTTTAATAACCGATGTGTTGCTGATCGTCTTAATGATTACAATTATTATTTTACATAAATTTGTACCTACGTTAGATTAAAGTAGATATACCATTTTACATAGGTATTAATATTAATATAATATTTATTATATTATATTAAAAGAAAGTTATTGGTAATATTTAAAATTGTTTATAATATGTTGATATTGCGAGATAAACAACACTATAGCTTATTCTAGGGGAACGCGTGTTTGAAAAAAAAACTTATTCACTTTATATTTCGTTTTACGTGGTCGAGAGTAATATAATATGTACCGTATAATACAATATTAAGTAACGTGAATATTTTGTGGTTGAAGTAAGTTTATGTAAACATAATTATACTTTCTATTATAGAATTAGTTAATAAATAATAGATGTAAAATTGTTGAGTTTGTCATATTACTTTATTCAGTGGTATACCTATAATCAAACACAAATCACCTACCGAAATTTTAATATTAAATACGATTTTATCATATATACCTATAGGCAAATTAAAATAACTTAGGTATTTTATAATTTTAGACTAATAAAGGGAAGTGTACAAATTTTTTTATCGATTAACTTAAGTTACAGGACAATGGTCAAAGGTTCCACAATGTATGATGAGTGATGACGTATAAAAAGTGAAGATACAAAGGCATTAATTAGTGATAGTGATGGAAACTATAAAATAGTTTATACTATTGATAGTTTAGATCAGTGGCATAGTTTGTTGATGTTTGTGGGGGGAGGGTTGAAATGTTTTTACATTTAGACTATTACCCTCACCCAGAAAAAAAAAAGAATTTTAATTATCATAAGTACATTTTAGCAGTGTCGGATTTAAGGCACTGTTGTGGATCAGTTAGGGATACATACAGTAGTGGTATTATATTCGATAATACGCATATTGTCACATCATCGATGGTTAGTGGCATATTTGAAAGAGAGGGTGATGGAAGCGATCGCTCTCCTATCAATTAATTTGTGTAGGTTTTTACTATATACAAAAATTTAATATTGTTAGAAAAGAGTCATTAGACAATAAAACACTTCATGGTAAGATAAATAGGGTAAAATATGCCACTGTTCAGAGTGCGTAGTCGTCAACGCATTCACAACATCTGTATTTATTTTCATTTTTTTAGATAGTAAAACGTTGTATATCGATATTATATTAATAATAACACCAATATAATATAGACGCGTGACGATATATATATATATATATATGTTCACCAGTGTTAAGCAAAATTTGATCTAGATAATTATTCGAATGATTTTTTATAATTATTTAAATTATTTTTTATTCGAATAATTGTCTAACATAAAACTCAAATTATTTTATTTTATTTTATTTGTTTAAATATTGGTTGGTAATTTAAAAATAATCAACTCTACTTTCGTTATTGATAGACCGGTATTAAGGCAGTTAAGATAAGCATCACCCGTGCGATTCGATCGCATTATATAGATTTAGACTTTAGACTGTTACGAAAAGTACAGTATTTTTGTATAGAGCTCAATATTATGTTTGAAATTTATTTGAATTTATTCAAGTAACGAAAATAAAATTGATTTTTAAATTACCTATTAATGTTTAAATAAATAAAATAAACGAAAATTATTCGAGTTTTATGTTTGACAATTATTCGAATAATCAGTTTTAAAATTATTTGAATAATTATCTAGTTATAAAATTTTACCCAACACAGCCGCGCGGCATGTCCATGTCCAGGACAAGCAGATTTTTCGCGGCAATATCATAAGTTTCTTTTGGAATGTTTACCGAGTACGATGTAGTTTGCGCACTCACTTTATTATATACTTACAACCGACATAAAGATTCACGTTTCAAAAAAAATTGGTGGGTTCGTCCAAATTTAAATAGCCGAAAAGTTACGAGTGGTACACAGCTCATTAATAATTTAATAAAAGATGATCAATTTAATAATAAAATATGGGGTTTTTTCATAATTTTTGCCCATATCAATTTGAAAATTTATTGTGCATAGTTAAACCAATTATTATTATTAGATATTTTATAATTTGAAGCCCCCCTCCAAAATTCGTATAATATACCTATGTTTAATGTGGTTTATCAAGTCATTTCGGTGGGTTGGAATTTCTTGTTATTATTTATCAATAACATCTCTGTCAACACGAGCGCTGGTCGCGGCCGAAAATATGCGATGAGAATTTACTGTTCTAAGCTTGCATAGAAATGCAAGTCAAAACGAATTAGCAAGTAGATATTTCGTGACAGTTTTTTACGTCACTTAATAATGTGTGTAGAAATTACTTTTACATACAAATATTTAAATCTGTGTCAAAATTTATACTTTTTTAACCCGTTGTCAATCGCGCGGGGTAAATAATGACTTCAGCTTATTTTTATTTATAACTAGCTCTCTCGCCCGGCCTTGCCCGTTCCAAATTTTATTATATTTTTACCCATATTCTTTTTTGGTTTTGACAGTATCAATTATGAATAAAAATAATAAAGTGGAAAGTGGGTAGTCCACCTTCGGCTGACTAAAAGTATTTTGTTATGGCATATATTTTTAAATGTTAAATTACTGTTTGCCTCAAGCATTAAATATTTCTGGATACACTACGTTAAGTATATCACCTTCTGGGGCCAGCAATTTTTTTTGCATGTGACACGTGATAGAGCTACGTACAATTGACCATAGGAAAAACATTGGACAGTTAGGTCTAAACTCTAAATCAGCAACATTTAATGTTTGACCTTGTGATTTATTTATGGTCGTAGAAAAACAGTTTCACGAGAAATTTGAGCTATTTAAACTGAAATGGTAGATTGTTTGATATCATTGATAAGACCATTTCCCCAGCTCTCCAGTTAGTAAAAACCATACATTCAAGCAGACAGTTTTTTATAGATTTTATTTGCAATCTTGTTCGTTATTTATTATCATAAATACGTTTTGATCAACCTTTTACATTTTTGTCTATAGAGTATATAAAGACAACGTATATAATATTAATGCAATGGTATCGAATTCAAATATCAGTCATAATTACAACTTTTACTAAATATATTATTGAAAAAAAATAATATAAATAAAAAAACATGTCTGATTATCCAATAGTAACCAATATACTATTATTTTAATTTGAAACCAATAGCAATAATAAAATAAAAAAAATATATTATCATATCGCATTTATTTCATCACCACCCCACATTCGTCTCAAATCGCAATATCTGCGACCTCTGGTTGGTACGTCTAATTGGTGAGATTTTGTTGGACCAAAATTGCGCTGAACTAACTGCAATGAACAAACACTTCTCAAAAAACTCACTCAACAAAATCAAAACTGGATAAATGTTCAGATAGAATAGACTATACACTAAGAAATTAATAAATATATTTTTTCATAGATACTCNCATGTTACCACGGAAATCTCTAATTTAAAAAAAAAAATATTAAATTTCTAAACTAAAATTACTTGTAACCTGAATTTAGGGAATAGTATGCAATGGAGGATGAATTTCAATAGCTATAACCTTCTCTGGACGATGTGGAAAATTTTACAAAAAACTGCGTTAAAATCGGCCAAGCCGTTTTCACGAGATGCGATGACCAAGGAAAATAGGGATTTATTTTTATATACATAGATTTTATAAATGTTATTGTGAATGTAAATATTTGTATATTTCTATTGTCTCGAAGAATGTGTTTATAGATAAAATGTAACCTGTTTTGTGTTATCTTGATTTTTCGTTCACTTAGTAGAGGTGCATAAAGTGATCGGCATCAGTATTTGGAAATAACTTCCCTCGTGCGAGTAATTCATTCTCAATTTTATTTTTTTTGTTTTTATGATCGAAAAACAATAAAAGTTTGCACGACATGAGTTAAATTAATATGTCATGATTATTTAATTGAAGTGTGTCCAGATGGTTATGCTCAATTGGCTAAATAATAATATAACGATAAAATATATTTTATTTTTCACAAGTTTTTAATCATTTTTTATAGTATAATTTTATTTTATAAAAATGGTCAAATTATTTACATCCAGGTTTTAATTTATTTACTCATATAATACATATAAGAAACAAAACTTGGAAAAAAAAATACATCGTGTGAGTAAAGGTGACAACGGAAACAGTGCGAGTGACGACGGGTTGAATTAAAATAACAATAATATTAAAATATATTTTACGATGAATACGTTTAATGGTCACTTGAAATTGGCATTTATACAGGGCATATCCACACGAGGTATCTTTTGTCGCGCGACACAGCCCGCTGACCAGGCCGATCCTAAATTAATAATTATGCTACGCTACATCGAAAAAAGCTGCGTGAAATTAATTTTGCGACGTTACACTCATGCCACAAAGATGCCCCGTGTGAATCCGCCTTAATATTTTACCTTGATCACTAAACGATAATTATTGTTGATAACAAAAATTAAGCACATTGGAACTAGGAAATTTCTATTTTTAATACCTAATATTACTATATGCGTGTACCCCAGTTGGCATACTAGTGTGCCGCGGTACATCGGTTGAGAGCCACTGATGTAGATACATGTCAAATTTCTGTTTTATCAAGAGTCCAACGTTTTAAATAATTGAATAAAATATAAATGGGTGAGAAATTGTTTACAAATAAACATAAATATAATGAGATTCATTAAAAAAAAAAATTATTTAAACATGTATTTTAACTAAATATTTTGAATCAATTTTAAATAATTAATTTGAAACAATAGTCTGAATAGTTATGAAAATAGTTAAAAGAGTTTAATTAAAATAATAAAATGTAGGTATTGTTTTATTTTATTAAGTCGTGTACTGTATACATGCTTCATAAAATAATATAACTTGAAAACTAAAATTGTTTAAATAGGTAAATAAATAATGTGAATATTTAAAGATTATTTATTCCAGGGATTCAAACTGAATTTATTTTTATTGTTAGTATTTAATGATCTATGCATTTCCTCTGATTTTTTTTTTTATGAATTTTTTTTGTTAAACTGGAAAATAGTGTGGTTTAAAAATAATATATTAATATACATATAATAACATTATATGCTTTAAGTTTCATTTACATACATTTTCCTAGAAAACTAACCAATAAATTACTTGGTTATAATAGGTTTGAAGCCCTGGTTTATTCACTTTAGCCAATGATAATTTTAGAGATACAACCAAAAAATGTTTCATAAAATTCTTGATTTTAACTTTGTAACACTAAAATAAATTCATGATAATTTTGGTCCCGAAATTTACCAAAATAAAGGAAAAAATGTCTTGTAAAAATATATGTATGAATATTTATGTAAAAATTTGTAAAATAAAAAAATGATTTAACAATCAGAACTTAAAATTTTAAAAAACCAAGAAGTACATTTTTAGATTAAACAATTAAAACCTATAAGTCTTACTACATATATTTTAAACAAAATATATCTATACACATATATATATATATATATATATATACAATATTATAATGTATTTGTACAACTTAAATGTAGGTATAATTCAGTGATGATATAATATAGTTCTATCTTAAAAAGCACAATATATAAATATATTAGTAATCAGTAAATTGTTCTTTGAGTTTATAAAACAGTAAGTTAATTATGTCAAGCATAAAATTATGTTTATATAATTTTTCAAAATTGCAATATTTTCATAAATTGTATCAAGTATTATCAACTATATTAAATCATTAATAATATAATAGTTAACAGTAATAATGTGATGCAAAATATAAAATAAAAATTACACATATATATATATATATAATAAAAAAAAAACATTTACAAAATAGTTTGGTTAATGTTAAATTAAACACGTATCATTTATTTGATAGGCATTACTTGTAGTGTTTACATTTAATGATAACATACCTTTATTTTTTTTTATAAATCGCACTTCTTCCACTGACACGACCACAAAACAAACCTATTATGAATATTAATCCCATGAAAGTGAATAAAAGGACAATTAAATATTTTTTGTTAGGGGATTTAGTAACTTGTCCATATAACTGTTGTAGGCTCTCAGGATAAATCTATAACAATTACAACAAGTATTAATGATTTATGTGACCAGATTACATTTTGTGCACTTTAGGAGAGACCTTATAGATTCTAAGTGGAGTAAGGAATATATTGATTTTTTTCTCATAATGTGTACACAAACTACCAGAAATCTTGCCCCGATTTACAAGTGCAGCACTTTTTCTGAAAGGAAATTTTCCTGAAAGGTCATATTTTTGATTTTCTAAGTGGTTTTCAAAATAATTGGGAAAAGGGAAAAATTAACAAAATGTATTATTTTAATTTTGTTTTTCTTACAATTTGTTAAAAAAAAATATTTGTAAAATTTTTAAATTTAGACAGAAAACTTAGGTTCGCCTTTTCTAAAAGTGGTAAAATTTTGAAAACATTTCAGCCATTTTTGAGTTATTTCGACATTTTAATTTTGTGAGTTTTTTAGGTAATTACAAGTATGAAATCAGCAGATAAAATTATTAAACCAAACAGAAATACTTGAATATTTAACAGGATATTCATTACAAATCTTCATGGTGAAAAAAAAAATTGAGTGTGATGTAGAATTTTTTTTATAAGAATTTTAGTATCAAATTTAGTGGAAAATTGTAAATATTACTGCTTTTCAAATCATATTTAACAGTAACATACACCATAACATCCCCATTAACATCAGCATTGGCAATGATTAATCGTACAGATATACATTAAATTCCCCTATGTATCGTACCTTCTCACCTACATCAGTGGCTTACTGACTGTATATTTTGTTACCATGTATTGTCTTAAATATATATATATATATATATATTTTGCTCTTTATTTTAGCAAGAAAGCAATAATAAACTTAACAATAATATTAGAAAAACTAATAGAAAGATAAAGAAAACCTTTATGGTGTTCGTAGATTTAGAAAAAGTTTTTAACAATGTCAATTGGAAAATACTATTTAGCATTATGGAAAATATTGGCATAGATATTAAAGAAAAAAAAATATTTTATAGGTAATATACACAAATCAAGAAGTCAGAGTTAATTAATTGACTCTATAGTAAAACCAGCTAATATAAAGGAGTTATTACAATGGTGTCTATATGCAATAAGCTGGGCAAAATTTTTTTTTTTGGGGGGGGGGTGCAGGTTAGGTTATCTTAACTTAACGGACCTCCACATGCGATTTTTTTTTGCAACTAATATCCAAATATAAAACCTAATATAATAAGTGCAAAATAAATTAAATCACAACATGAATACACATTTTCAATCAGTGATATTAACATTAATTTAAACCACTTAACTCTATACATGGAATGTATAGAAAAGTGTCCCTGTTAGAGGGCTACCATATTGATTCTGATAGTGGTTTAATCCATGAAAAACTTGGAGAGTAAACCAAAGGATAAGACATAGGCAAAAGAATCATGGAGAGATCATTTATTGTACAATAATCTATGGATTGAGTACTAAAATAAAAAATAGGTAAAGGTACCATGAGAGTATTCTAATACTCTTTCACAAGAGAAAGCTATTGTCTACTATAAACTAAACCTTCAACCTACAGGAACAATACCATATGCCAACTGAAATCAGCAATCTGGACTTTTTACCAGTAGATGCTTGGGAGGTGGGGGGTGGGGGTTGCCAAACATATATCATATATACACCTCTATGAAGTGTATATGAATAGTATATAATATTTAATAAAAATATTCTTACCAATGCTTTTGCATTTTTAAACATTTCCATTCTTTGTACAAGCATTTCATGACACTTGGAATGTAGTGTTTTAGTTTGTGATTCGACTACAGCTTGCAGACATTGTAAATCTGTTATAAAATTAATGAGTGTAACATATTAAATTAAAAATAGTATACATAATACATTAATATTATTTTCATGAGTACTCTTAGGTATTTGGATAAATATTTTAATAGGCTTTCCATAAACTGGTATATTACTACATTCTCTGCTTGATTGAGGGCATTATACATATTATTTAGTATAGCAATTGATTTTATAATATACAGATAGGTAATACTGTAGATATATTTGATGGCTGGTAATTTTTGACCACCACTATGAGACTGTTGGCACAGCATTTCGACCACCATGCAAGAACAGGCATACAGCAATTTTAATTAACTAATGCAAAAGCATTGAATTATATTAAAATTCAATTAATAATGACATTTTAATTTCCATTGCAATATAATTTACACCAACCATAATTTTCCCTGAATTTTAAATGGTTTTCTATTATTCTCATAAAAAAGTGGGGGAAAGTCATAATAATTGTAAATTGCATGAAAATGTTAGATTAGTGACATTTAGAATAATATGATTAATACAATATTATATTTAGTCTAAAATTGGTTTTAAAAATGATTTATAAAAATATATTTTGTCTGAAAAGCTCTGTTACCGATCTATCATCATCTGTGTGGCATATATTAAAATAAAGTTATCAAATTGAATTGTATATATTTTTGTATACACCTAAACATAATGCTTAGTAGGGTATTTGCAGTATTTTACAACTTTTTTTATTCTATGTCCCTTTGTAGATTTTAAAAGATTTTATATTTCATACAATAATTAAAAATACATCCTAGGATTATGGGGATAGGTGTAGCTACTATTATAGATAATTTAATGTACACCTGTAAGCAATGATAAACCATTGTTTACAGAAAAATGATTCTGTTGATAGTCCGGCTTTGTAAACAATATATTTATATATATCATATTATATTAAAATAATTAAATAGGCTTTATATATTTTCTTTAATAATATTTGTTTAATGCAGTACCGATATTCATAGTTTTCTGAAGTTTTAGAAAAAACAACCTCTCTACTGGGATGGAAGTGGTCAATGGTTTGAAAATAAGTGAGAAAAATGACTAAAATTTACAATTAAATGATTAAAAAGTGACTAACATTAAAAAATAATACAATTATTTAACATCAGTAGTAGTTATAGGTAATAATTATAATATTATAATAGGTTAGGATTGGTATGATAGGTTAACAACCAGGCTTTATTAATGAATTTAGTGATAATTTAAAAATAAATAACAACTTTAAATATACCTAAAACAATTGTTTAAAAATATGCTAATCTTTGGTAGTATTAGGTTAAACTTATATAAAACTTTAAATTTCTTTTTCATCACATAGCAAATTATAATAATATATGATCTTGTAATAAATATCAATATAATAATTATTTTTTATAAAATTATTCGAGAATACTTAAAAAGTGACTTTAAGTGACTAAAATAAAAAAGTGACTATACTCATGAGAGATGAGTACTGCTATTCGAGTACCCCTATTCATCAGTCATTCTGCATGCGTGTACTGGGTCTCTCATGGGCCGGAGTATAAGTGAGAAAAATGAATAATTTCCATCACTGCCTCTCTAAAGTACTTCCTCAGTGAAATTTCGTTTTAGAAAAATTGCTGGTAGAAAAGTTGTCCATCCAAAAAAAAATCATAGTACTAAAAGATTTCCAGCACTCATTTTTAAATTTATGGCTTAGCAAGGATCTATTGGTTTTATTTTGATGTGTATTTTTTTTGTTTATAACCCACTTTACTACCAGAAATCTTGCTGGGATATAGAGTGTAATACCTTTTTTGAAAGAAAATTGTCTCTAGTTGGTAGAAAGTTAATTTTTTGATTTGTAAAAATAATTAAGAAAAACCTGAAAGAAAATTATAGGTAAACCACCAAATATTTAGGGCACATTGTGGCTTTACTGGTTTCATGGTTTTTAAATTTTGCAAACTATATTTTCTATCAGAAATATTGGTTAAATCAATAAATACCAAGAGATAGATTTTGATATTTTTAACAATATACAGTCACTAAAAAACAAAAGTAATTTCTTGATATCTAAAATAGTTTTAAATTTAATTAGGAAAAATAAAAATAAAATTGTTTTAATTAGGGCGTAACAATTTCATTATTTAAATGTGCAAGATTATATTTTTCTACCAAAAGTCTTGGTCCAAATTTCAAAAACAGCATATTTTCTGAAAGACAATTTTGTTTAGTCTTTTAGTAAAATTATCTTTATTTGATTGTCCATAGTTTTCCTTATAATTCTGAAAACCAGGAAAAAATACCTAGGAAATATGGCAAAGTGTAAGAATTCAAACTTTTTATTGTATTTTAGTTAAAAATTACCATAGAGACCCGTAGTTTTCACAAAATTCTTATAATGATCATTACAAGATCTTTATAATGATTCTTACAATGGTCTTTTGTAGACATGGTAACATTTTTAAAACATTTAAACTGTTTTTAGGCTGTTTATATGTATTTTTATTTGGTAGGTATCTTTTATCAAAATAATATACCTTAAGAGAAATGATTGAAAATTTAATACAAGGTATATTTTAAGTTGTACTTATAGTATAAAAAACAAATTTGAGTTTAATGCATTAGTTTTTTTTCATAAGCATTTTAAAATCAAATTTTAACAAAAATTGTAAAAAATATGGCATTTTAAAATATGTCAAATATTAAACTTTGCTCTGAATTGTTTTTTTGTTAGCAATAGTTTTTTTTTGTGTACACATATAAATAAAATAAATTTATGTATCCCATCTTCCCAAATTTCTACCTACAATAATGGCTGTGCACTGCCATCTCAAATATCAGCTCTTTATTTTTATGTTGCAATGATCATTGATCAATAAAATAATGTTGCACAGCTTATTGGATTACAATATTATAGAGAAAGTATTCTTCATAAAACTTATTTCATTATAAAAGACTTACGTCTACCAGCACCCTGAGGTACGGTGTCACAATACTTTGTTATATCTAGGAGACAAGCTCGTTGTAACATGGGATCTACATTTATATCAGCTTTGGACTCTTCAATCAATCCCGCCACTTCTAGACGACAAGCTCGACTTTCAATTAATCCATGACTCAATGCTTGTTTTAAGCATTCTTCTACTTGTCCAGAACTCTCTATAGCACCATTGCCCTCACTGTTTTCTTCTTTTCGACAGAGTTCTTTAATCTATTTATTTAAAAAAAAAAAATTATTGTACAAAAGTTTTAATTTTATGATGACTGTTTTTTACAAAATTTAATTTTTAATATCAAATAAAATAAAATTGAACAGTACCTCAGTTGTACAGAGACTACGTAATAATGGATTTAATTTATAATTTAATGCAGCTTCGCGCAGAGTAAGAGACACCTGTTTTTCACATTCCGGTTTTAATTTTCTTTGACGAAACTTTTCCTTAAAATTAAATTTTTATATTTAATTAATCACTCAATAAATTAAATAAATTATTACAAACTTTTAAACATTGTAGCACTTTTCCATTATACTCAGACTCTGGACGTAATTTGGCCAATATTTGACTACAATATAAATTTATGTCTGCTTGACAACTATGATGTAGGGCTGGGTCTAATCTATAGTCGTCACTTTGTTCTATCATACGTTGAATTACAAGTGATTGACAAGGTTTTTCAAATGCCAAATCATGTTTGAATTTCTGTATTACATTACATGTTAATTATTTGTTATATATATATAAAAAAAAAATATATGGTTTTGTTGAAAATATTGAATACATTAATTTGTGATTAAAAAGTGATTTTTTTTATTGTGAATCAGCAATTTTCTGGGAAGATTTTAAGTGAATTTGATTTGTTTTTTTTATCATAATGGAATTGGTCAAGTTTTATTTTAAAACCATTTTTAATTTTTTAATCCAACTCCATGTATCTTAAATAAATATATACTCTGGTTTTTCAAATAAGAACCATCTTTTTGAACACAGATTAGAGTAGAGAATATTTTTATAGAAATTTTGATATGCATAACACTTATATCAGATTTGCCATTTAAGAATTATAATTGTCTAAAGTTTGGACTGAAGAAGTAGGGTAGAGAACAATCATACAATTTATTCTTTACTCCTCCAGTTTAAATTTTAAATTGTAAATCTGATATTAGTGTTATGCATATCAAAATGTCTAGAAAAATATTTTCTATTCGAATCTGTGTTCAAATAAAGGGGGGAGGGTTCCTATTTGAAAAAAAAAAGTATACACTTATTTAAGGTATAAGAAGCAGGGTTAAAAAATTAAAAATTGTTTTAAAATATAGGTTAACTGATTCCATAATGGTTAAAAGAACAGAAATCAAATTTACTTAAAATCCTCAAAGAAAATTGCTGGTTCATAATAAAAAAATCATCTGAATAATACCTTTAAACAGCTCAAAGCTCTAGACGTATTTTCTTCTTTGCAATAAAGTTGTATCATTCTATGACATTTTGTCAATAATACATAGTCTGATGAACTATCAGTCAAATCTTGTCTTTGAATCAAAAATATTACACGATGACATTGATCTGATAACAAACTTTTGTTCATTTCAAGACACACTAAAACCTAAATAAAGAAAAAAAATAATGAATTAACGAGAAAAATTGTATACATATTTTAAAAATAGTTAATACTTTCACCTGTGCTGAACCAGATTCCATGCCAGAACAATGTTTTGAAATATCGCCTTGACATGCATTTTTTAAAACAGGATCCAATTCAAGAAATTCTCGTTGTTGTAACAATTGTGCTCGGAGCTGTTGTCGACAGGGTTTTGTTACTTTATGTTTTGAATCAGAAATAGTATCATTACGGACTACTTCACTTAAACAGGCAACAACCTGATGAAAATAATTATTCAGGTATATACAAAAATGTTAAAATATAAATTTAAAACTTCAAGTACCATGATTGTGCATACCTCTGGTTTAGTGCGAGACCTGGGACAGTATCTCATTACTGTTGAGCGACAAGCTTCTTTAAATGATAATGTGAACCGATAATCATTCATAGATATTAACTGAAAATGTTCTACAGCAGCACGACATTTTAATTCCGTTTTCATTTCTGGATCATTTTTATTTTTTATCAAACAGTCCATTACATCATTTTTACCAATATCATCTTTAGATATAAGTTCCGCCTAAATATGAAACACACAAATAATAATGAATCAAAAATTAAATAGTTTATAACAATATTTCCTAACTTTACCGAACAAAATTTTTGAATAAATTGTTTACAGTGTATTCTAATGACAGGGTTTAACTGAATATCTTCAGCTTGTTTTTCTGTCCATCTACTAATGGATTCTTTGCATTCTTTTGTCATTTTTTTACTGAAATAGTATTTTTTTATTTATATTATTTAAAACATATTTATGAATAATGATCACTTACTTGTTAAAATTGTCTTGTAGGCAGAGCATTTCCTCTCCGATGCCAGTTTTTTTGTGACAAAAATTTGGTAGGTCCCTAATGCAGGATTCGGCTATCTCTGGATTGAGATCTACACTGATGGCTCTTTGTATCATCACTTTTCGTACTTGATCTTTACATTTTGGTTTTAACTATAAAAAAATATCATAATTATGAATACAATTACAGCACATCATTACTATAATACATATCTTGTAGACAAAAAGTTATATATTTACTTTATATTTTGCTCCAGTGCTTGATGATGTGAAGGGTCGGTAATACTGAGCAAGACATGGTAAAATTAAGTTCCCTTTGGATTCTTTTATCCAATCCTTGGCTTTACAGATTCTAGATGCATCTGAATAACATGCTTGATATAATGCGGGATCTAATGTGAAATCACGATTGATAAAATATTGAACTGGCATTAATGCATTTTTACAATCATCTTGTATAGATCCCACAAATAATTTTTCCAGTAAGCAAGACATTACTCTAAAGTATATTTAAAATGTGATATACACTGAATGGTAAATAGTGATTATTAGTGATTTGTAATATAAATAATTGTAACCTGTTATAGCCAGGAGGTCTATTATCAGAACAATACATATCAACTTCAGACTGACACATTTCTTGAAGAACGGGATCTACTCTCCAGTCTTCACCAATGTTTGTGATACGCATAAGTTTTTGTAACTAAATGTCATTAATATATTTTTCATTAAAAAAACAAAATATATATACATATATATAAATATATATAAATGGTTACACACAGCTTTTTGACAAGACTTTCCAATTCGATTTTTCTGACGTGATGGTTTTGAATGATCCATTAAACAATGAATTGTACGTCTACCAATTTCATTATTTTGACAGTAATTTTCTATATCATTAGAACACATTGAAACAACTTCTGGTGATAGCTGGTAATTTTGGAGTAACAACTTTCGATGTTCCATCAATTCAAATTGACAATCTGGAGTCACTTCACTCCCTGAAAAAAAAAAAAAAGAATAGTAGTTTTAATATTATGATTTAACAATTTGACTGTTAATAACTATACCATTATGTATATTATTTTCTAGACACAGTAAAAGTTGTGCCAAGCGTACATCCTTATCATCAGACACTAATCTTCTACAGTGGTATTTACGAATATCATCTCTGCATGCTCTAGTTAATCCTTTACTGACTCTAATATTGCCAGTAACTAATTTTTCTCTCCTCCACAGCTGGTTTTGGCACTAAAAAACCCGTTTAAAATAGATAAGTATTTTAAAATATTTATAAATCAACACGCTAAATTACCAATTGTGACATTTGTCCACTACCAATATGTCTGGAAAGACAGTTATAAACATGACCACTTCCAGTTGGAATGTCAGCGCATAGTTTTTCTTTGTCTTTTAAACAAGCCATATGAAGAGAATAATCAAATTTTATGTTATCTGCTTGCCACTCAGACAATTTATAAACAAGTGGTAAACACTGTTTTGGAGAAAGTTTGTCAATGTTAGATTGAAGACATTCTAATACTTTTCCTCGATTTAATGTCTGCAAATAAAATATTATACTGAATGACCTAAGAAATAACGTAATTACATCATACTAACATCTGTGACTGGACCATTGAAACAATGATATTTTTTAATATCATCTTGACATACATTTGAAAAATTAGTGATTAATCTAAAGTCAGAAAATGCTATATTTTCTATTCGTAATATCAAATGAAGACAGTCTTCATTTTTTATAATGCTCTGTTTTTTATCGATTATGCAACCAAACCAATTTTTGTCTCTTTCACAATTGACTTTTTCAATTTCATGCATACATTTTGACTTGAGTACAGTTCGTAAATTTTCTTTTGTCATAAACTTTTTCAAATGAGTCCATATAGCTTTTGGACAGTCATTTGAAAACTCAGAATCCTGAAAAAATTTCAATCAGTTATTAACAATTTCCTCTAGTAATTAATTTTGTAAATAAATACAATGAATAGATAGATAAATAAAGTATAAATTAAGTATGGAAAATTACCTAAATAAACAAATAATAAAATTAAAATAATGCTTATTAAATTTGTACCTATTATAGACATATAGACCATAGTTGTATCAAGTATACAATTTAATTAAACATTTAAAATTTTGCTTTGCCTAACTAATTATCGTACTATTTGTACCAATGCATATATTTAAAACTATTGAAAATCAGGTGGAAACATTTTAACTAGGTAATACTAGTTGAATATAAAATATTAAATAGCAATAGAATTTGTATAGGGATATTGTTGTTTACTGTTAAGTACATTATAGAAAAAGCTAGGTATGTATTAATTATGAAACTAGTGTATATATTTTATGCGCTATGTTGAAGAGTTGTTGAATTACTTCGTAGAATTGTATGCATTCCAGTATGTCGAGTTCAGACAAGGCTGCGGTGCGCGCGTCAGCGCATCTCAATTTCAAATCGTCGACGCAAGACGGTTCAGTCAACAGCGAACCGACCGCAAACACACCCGGCACGGCTACACACGAAACTAGGCCAACGGATAGTAATGCCGTTAGAGTCACGACCATGGTTGTTCCGCAGGGACACAGTACCTAATTGACTGACAATAGAAGCGTTCACTTCCGTAAACGAGATGATGGTGGCTGGACAAATCTCACAGAAATCATTACAAATGGCTGCTCGATCTCTTGCGAAAATTTGGTAAAAAGGTGACAGCTAAAAACAATGACGAGCAACACGATTAATCTTTCGAGTAATATTATTACACGCAAGTTCAAAGCGACTCATCCAAACAGATCGTTATCAGTGATCGTAGCCGGTACGCTGCTCGTATTGTATTGTAATTTTTAATCAATTCGCTATTATCACAATCGACCCATAAAAAGAGATAACCCGTCAACCCAACAAAAAATAACAACATGTAGTTACGGTGGCACAACTATCGTGCAATACACCATAATATAATATCTGCATTTTGTGGGCACATTGGCACAACCACAGACCACAATAATATACTCATAGACTGGTCTTCACGTTTCTTCTGTGCTAAGATAGGTAGTACTTTTCGATTACTGAGTTACTCCGATATGGTACAAAAACTATTGCATAATTACCACATTTTTTGCGCCTTTTTATAATATTGTTATCATGGGTTGACATTATAAAATGAAAGATAATATTGAAGTCTTTAATCTTTGATACACCTATTACCTAGTACCTTACTACTTTAGTCTTGAATATTCTTAATTAAATATTTTATTTAGGATGGATTTTAGATGCATTATCTGCCATAACACAATTAGTGAAAATATAATATTAACTTTTCCGGTTAGTATAATATATTTGCACTACTTATTTTTGGTTAGGTATATGTGCATTATAATCTATATTATAGATTTTCAACTGATGAAAATCTTAAAAAAAATGGATGAACATTTGTTTGCAAAATAAATATTTAGTTTCACATCTCATTGTACTGGGGCATTAAAAAATGATGTGCTTGACTGTAATGAGAGTTTCACCTTTTTTGAGTAGGACATGAAGGGAGTCATCCTTGGTCATGGCTCATGAGTTAGGTAGCTATCAGTCGTGCGACTTGTACGGTTCATTTATTTGTATATTATGTTTAATTATTCAATTTAAAATATTATAATATTGTTCTCACTAACAGTATTTTTGACTTAGTGACGTAGCGTGCATAAAAGCAGTGTAAGCGTTGCTTACACTTTCAGTTATAACATGTTATAGATATATTTTTAAATGAACAATTCATGTCATGGTAAAGTTTTAATAATGTAAAATTATGTATTGCATTTTGGAATTTTGTAATCGTATAACAAGGAGAAGACATAAAGCAACTTTCAAATAACTACATGACCAATTATCGTGATATCAATAGAATGATACTATTTATTATACTATCAGCGTTAGTATGACCACATACGCAATATTGAGCATTATCTAAATAAATTATTTAGATAAATAATTAATTATATTTTATCTTATTTAGATAATAAACAAGATTAGTTATCTGATGAATTATCTTAGATGAATAATTGAGTTATCTAACGTAATTCATTTAGGAAAATAAACCTATCCGAAAAATTGAACTTGAAAGTTAAAATCCATGTCTCGTTAGTAAATAAACCTTGTACAAATAGAAAACAAAATTAAAAACATAAAATAATAGGTAATAATATTATCCGGGTCGCTTATTTATGTTATTTCTAAATTCTAATAGAAATTGTAGATTATAGAATCTAATATAAATTGTAGATTAATTAATAAAATTTAAAATTATATTATTTTTTAACCAGATAAATAGTGGTTTATATTTTATCTTTATCTAGATAATTTAGATTTTAATTATGTTTAACTAAGATGTTTATTTTTTTTTATATTGAGTACAAAAATTCTATTAGAAATCTTGCTCAGATATATACGCGCGGCACCATTTCTGAAAGGGAATGATGTCCAGATGGTACTTTTGGAGGTAATTTATTGATTTTCCAAGCGGTTTTCATAATATCTTGGAAAAACCAGGATAAAATGTAAGAAAAACAGGAAATTTACGAAAATAATGCTTTTATTATTTTTCAATTTTGTTATTTGTTGTAATTAATTTAAAAATATCCGTAAAGACTTGAAATTCGGATAGAAAAATTATATTTACCTTTTCTAGACGTGATAAAATTTTTAAAAAATTTAAGCCATTTTTGAGTTATTTATAGACATTTTAATTTTGCGAGTTTTGTACGTAATTTGAAGGAAAAAAAATGTAGGAAATGTAGGAAAGACGGGAAAATTGGTACAATATTAAAAAAATATTATTAAAGAAAATATGTTATCTATTTAATTATTTTACTATAATATGATATATATATATATATATATATTGTTTACGAAGCAGGATTATCAACAGAATCGTTTTTTGTAAACAATGGTTTATCGTTGCTTACAGGTATACATTCAATTATTTATAACAGTGGCAGCACCTGTCCCCATTAACCTAGGACGTCTTTTTTGATAATATTTGTATTAAATAATTCGTGATGGGCTCTCTAGAAACGATGGAGGTAGAAAAAGGTACTGATAGGTATTTATTTTTTGGTAATTGCGTATACCACTGACTATATTACGCCACGCCACTGATTTTTGTTGATAACACTGATTCATAATACAGCGCTATGTTTGCACGCGGCTCTCAATATATTTGGTATAAAATGGGTTAGTTTATGAGTTTAATATGGTCTATGGACATAACCGTACAACAACACGTAGTTGCTATTTATATAAGAGGCCCACGAAGATGTACCTACCCATTATAATATTTCCGGGGATAATAAAGATAATTGAATTTTATTTTTTTATTTTTTTTCTATTACTCATAGGTAAACTCATAGTTTTTTACTTCCCTCTACGACTGCAACCGCAGCGCTGGATTATACTATTGTCGATAAAACAACGTATTGACGCTTATTTTTTCAACTAAATATTTGACTGTCAGCCTTAAATGTTAAGTTGTAATTTTAAAATTTAGTTAAATTCTGTTTACTCAAAATTTAAATATTTCAAAAACAATGATTACATGCAATAAACTCATTAAACGCTGTACAGACTAAAGACTACAGCAGCGGCTGGCTTTACGCAGTTATTATTATTATACTGTTGTCGATAAAATATGGTTGTCTTCATGAAATGTACAAATTGTTTGAGCAAAGTGTCTACAAATATCAATGAATAACATGAAATAATAATCGTACGGTTCCCGCTGCCTATTTTATTTCGACCATAATATTTTATCAGTGTGTATAACAATCCGGAGTCCCGCGTGGACGGTAACGCTATTAATATCATTGTTTATTTATTTATTAGGTGGTAATTTTAAAGTGCTGTGTGCAGTTTTTTAGTCTTGAATTTTATTCATTTGCGTCGAAAAGATATTCAAGTGGTTCTGAAAAATGTAAAAAAAACTTCCTGCTCAGAAAGATAGTATTAGCAAACTACCTAAAGTAACTTCATTAATTAAACTTGAAGAAACTAATAAGCTGACCAATTCTTTGACCTCACGATATCAAGAAGGCTCTAATTATAAAAGTGGATTAGAGTAGATAAAAATTGATATTTAGGTAATGGTAATAATGATAAGAATGATGACAATAATAACAATGTAATTATAATTAAAAATAGTTTTTAAATCTTGTAACGAGTTGATTTTTTTAAAATTTACAAAATAAAATACTATATTGTTCATAAAAGTCTATGTACGTATCAAATATCTATTTAAAATTAAAAAGATGTTATTTTCTTATAAATCATCAAATAAAAATTAATATTGGTTTTTTCATTCTCATTATTTTTTGGCTTCTTAAAGAGCCCCAAATTCTGTTTGCCCAAGGGCTCCTGAATATTTTAAGGCAGCCTTGATATTATATTTAGAAAGTTGAAGTAAAAAATTGGGAAAATGTATGAAATAATAATAATAATAAAAATAATTTTATTTACGGAAATTCATTTTCAATTTTAAAATAATGAATTGACAATGTAAAGTGACAGTTTATATGAACATAGTGAAAAAAATAATCTATTAATACTAAATAATAAATTTAAGTTAAATATTTAAATTATCAAAAATAAACTATTATTAATAAATTAAGGACATAATGAAATAATGTAAGATAGTAAATAGTATTAACTGGATAAAATATTTGAAAAATTTAATAAAGTAGTATTAAATATATCTAAATTATGAATTAAATTATTCACGGTCATAAGCATAGGCGTGCGTAGACATTGTTCGCAGGTGGTACATTCTTTTATTACTCCCTCTTCCCTCTTCTTAAAAATGAGTCTATCTACAGATATGTACTATACAGGCGGGGAGGAAAGATTAGAGGTTAAACTCCCCCTCATTGGCTTAAAAATACAAAAAAAAATGAGTTATCTAATATCGAAATGCATATATTTCTATTAAGTTACGAAGAAAAGCTCTATTCTTGATATATATATATATATATATTAGAAATTGGTGTTTTTTTTTTTTTTTAGAATTAGATTTTTAAATTACCAATTCCTATATTCGAGTTGGGTAGAGAAAACGACTTAACGATTTATTCACGATTCTTATTTGCTACATTCCCTCCCATTGAAAATTACTGGGCACGCCACTGAAACCTGTGCCCGACTCTATGTTCTATACTATGTATGGGGGTTTTGGAAGACAAATAGCTAGTAAGTTGGACAATGTTTATAATCTATAATTAATATTAATGCGATAATGTGATGATAAATTCAAAAATGTAGTTTTCACTACACTCTACATCAGCGGTTCCCAACCTTTCTCAGCCTCGGAGCCTTTTTTAAAAAAAGTTTCTCGTGGAGCTCCCATGAAATATTTAACATAAATTTTTATCTGCCTGTGTTCTATCTTCTATGAAGTATAATAAACACGAATTGTATATATACAAGAGTCAAAATAAAATTATATTTTTGAATACAGGTGAAACAATAGCANCTGTTTGGTTCGGTCAGAAGAGAAGCGAAGGTCTTTCCAGGTAGAGTTTGATTTTAATTTATTTTGATATGAGAATAATTCAAAAATATCTTTTTGATCCGAAAAACGTAATTTTACTGGTCGAGATTTGGTAGTATTAGAAGAAGAAGGTTTGCCCAGACGAGTGACAGAATTTGGTTTGGATTTTAAGTTAAGAAAATCAAGTATGTTTTGAATAGAAGTAGAATCCGAGCTTGCGTTGGTTAAGTCATTAAGAGTTTCTGTTAAATTGAAGAGTAACACATTATTTCGTCGTGATTGTCTGTCGATCATCTCAGGTATTAGATTGTCGTTAATTATATGATAACAATATTTATTAAGTATGTATTTGAATCCAAACAAATAAAAATTTACATAATACTGATAATGAAGAATTTCATTACATAAGACATTTATAAATGTTATATAAAGTAATTTTAAAATTCTTACATGTTTCCTGAATTTTAAGTAGATAAATCTTATTTGAGTAACTCTAATTTAATAATAATGAAATCTTAGTTTGTAAGTACATACTCATAGTTTAATACAATATAAGCAGTTAAAAATATATTAAGTGCGTTTTAAAAGATTGCTACTACTATGATAATTAACTACTTCGACTAAGTCTGCAGTTCCCAACCTTTCTCAGCCTAGGAGCCTTTTTTTAAAAAAAAGTTTCTCGTGGAGCCCCCAAGAAATATTTAACGTTAATTTTTATCTGCCTGTGTTCTATCTTCTATGAAGTATAAAAACACTAATTTTATACATAAAATTTTATTTTTTAATACAGGTGAATCAATAGTATGAAAAGAACTGGACAACATATTATTTATTATTTAAAACTTAAATCTACAAAATGTCTTAATGTGAGCATTGGGCCTGGTTTTTACTACTGAGTTTGTTCATGTCCAGTGTCACATAAGTCATTTGAAGACACATATCGTTTTCTGCATCCAAACGTGCTCGATATTTTGTTTTTGTAGCTGTATACCTCGAAAAAGCCGTTTCACATAGATATGTAGTAAAAAAAGGAAGTAAAAGCAGTTTATCTTTTGAACTTAATATTGAATGATCTTCCCCTAATTGAGCCTAAAATTCAGATATTGGTTTGCTTTTAAATAATGTCTGATAGCAGCTATCCGAAACTATATCAATAAAAACCTCAGGTTAATTTGTTACATATCACACTGAGGACGTCCATCAGCAAATTCAGTGAATCCTATATCTAAATATGACTCGCAATATTTTCGTTTTTTTGCTTCCTTTCTGAATATCTGTATCAGGTATCGTAGATTCTAAAGTAGAACTATGTAAAACATGTTCCGAATGTAATTCTAAGGAATTTTTTTTACTACAATTATTGTTATCTTTCTTCGACTGAGCAATAGTTGTTGATTGACTCTTTTCAGGTCTTATGGAGCCCGTTTTAAACCACCGTTCCATTACAGTAAAAATATACTGGGTCGTTCGTACATACGCACAATAAATAGATAAAAAATAAAAATAATTGAATCAAATAAAAAATACACGTCCGTTGTTCATAAATATGCTCAATAAAATTATAAAAGAGTAAATTAACTGATGAAACAAAATAAAAACACGTCCGTCGTTCGTAAATACGCACAATTAACTGATAAATGAATAATGTAATTTGAGAATCAAACCTAAATGAAATGGTGAAACGTGGTAAACAAAATAATGCATATTCTATAAATATTTCTATAACATAATAAACAACAGACTGAGTCCTCAGGGTCGTTTCAATTTATCATCGTTTCGTATTATCTAAAATTCCAAAATTAGATAATTGTATACAATTTTCTTATCGGTATTTTATGCAGTATACATATCGGTGAATTATGACATTCAAGTCTTCATGAAATATATATTCATTTTAAATAACGAACAATTTTTAAATTAGTTGTGGTGTTACGAACGGAGCCCTTGGTTCCAACCCGATTGCGGAGCACCGGTTGGGAACCGCTGCTCTACATCATTCAATTTAAAATCTATTAGTTAATTAACTATTAACAGTACTAACTAAATATATAGATATTATTGTAATGGTGGTTTTCAATAATATTAATAACAACAGCTTGTAAACATTGCCAAACCTACATTACGACTCTGTTGGTTTAAAAAGATTTGAACCATAAAGTAACGGATCATTGAAACCAAATGATTTGAGTTTGGTCAATAAAAGATAATGCGCAACATTCAAAAATAGATAAGTCGCAAAAATTAAAGCGCGCGCTTGTCCGCTTGCCGAGTAAACCACTCGTGTTTAATAATACTAAAGATGTCCATCCCTCACCCGAATTAGCTCAGTTTTCGCGAATAATTTTTCCTGTGAGTTTCGAATTAAAATTGAAAAAAACGACTAACAAGAGCCCCGGCGAATCAAATTAAATAAATTTTACCGATAAGGTCCCAAGTGTTTCGACGTCCGTTGATGCGCTGGTTAGAACGTTGACATTTTTTTATCATCTGTCATGGTAAGCAAATTCCTGTCAAATTTTTTTTTCTGTTTTGGTGCTCTTGTCCAGCCCAAGATGGCGGAGTAAATCCATATGAAAAGTTTCTTATGTGGGGCGACTTCGGTCGGTGCAAGGAATACTGTGAGTATAAATATTTTTCTTTAACACCTTGGCCAGTACTCCCGTTATGTTGTTTTTTTTCTTTACCCTTTAGTTAAATAATATTAAAACAATATTGTATGTTGTTTTTTTTTTTTATACCTATTGTATTTGTGTTGATCGTTAATACGGTTGTTGTGCCATGTGGTTATTTGATAATATTAAAATTTTTTTTTCATTCGTTTTTCCTATACGTGTCCAAAACCAAATATATGTCTTATTCCTGCGCGGCTCCCCATATAAAAACCGCCATCCATTTTCTTGTATTTTTATACCACGTGTTTTCAACAACGTAAGTGATAGTTCGTTTTCTTCTTAATTACTATGCCATAAATTGTGTGCTGTTCAACTTTTGAGAATAAAAATAAAAAATATTACTTTTGTTCTGCAATTGCTCTGAATCAATTTGTCCTCGAAACATAGGTACAACTCGTATTGAGGTTAGGTATGTCCCGCAGGTGTCAACTTATATTATATCCCAACTCGTCAGGTTGCTACGTTAGGACACCCACTTGGACGATAAACATGGATCCAGCCGGCACCTTTTTTTTATAATAAAAGTATAATTCGCGTACGTGGCAAATGCGCGATCCTGATCTGAGTCACCGCAATCAAATTAAATATACTTATGTGTTTCGATCCACAAACCGTCCGCTACTCCACTGGTTGAAACCGAAATCTCGACAATTTTACAATTCCCCCTAAATATTAAAATAATCGTGCGTAACTCGATACCACCGCGTCGTGAACATACCATACATATGCTTTAACCAATACTTTACTTATAAAATACGAAATTATTCGATAGGTATCTAAAAGGACACGTTTCCTTAAACTTGAGCTTGAGCTTGTATATTAATTGATTCCAAGATGAATTATTTGAAAATTCTTAGGTTGGATAATGATGATAGCCCTGGACGAAAACCATGTTCGTTTGAAATTATACGTTCATATAAAGGAAATAATAGATTGTTAACCAATTTGAAGAATAAACTTAGGAATATTGAAATTTCAGAAACTTGTCTGTAGTTTGTAACTAAAGATTTATTTCATTTTTTATAAGTTAGTCATAAAATAAAAATGCCATAATAGGTGACAATATAAATGAGAATTCTTTCAGAAACCTTGTAAAGATGCCATCAGGACCTGTTGATTGTTTTAATTTTATAAACCACATTTTGTCGTAAACATCTATTGTAGATATATTTATAGAGCTAAAGCAAAATAGAGAGTCATATAATTTGTATATATTATTAGTGCTATTGGTTATTAATGGAATTGATAAATACTAGAAAAATGAGATTTAAGTAAATTAACAATTTCTAAACCAGAGGTAGCTTCTTTATCAAAATAGGACATAGATGCTGGTAATTGGTTATTTGATTTTTGTAAATTATAAAAATTCAAAAATATTTTAGAATTTATTTTAACTAAGTTTTGTGTGCAATTATTGTAAGTTTTATAATCACGACATTGCTAACCCTTGCTTCAGTCTACTGTTCTCCCAGCCAAAAAATCACCACTCAAGATTTTGCTCAATTTTTCATCTCACTAGGGAACAATTTCATTGCAGGCGGTGACTTTAATTCCAAACACCCAGTATGGGGCTGCCGCTCCACCTCTTCAAGAGGTAAAATCCTACACAAAACAATTACCGATCATAATTGGTCACACCTCGCGCCTACTAGACCGACATACTGGCCCACTTACATCAATAGGCATCCAGATATTTCAGATTTCTTCATATATTCACTCCCAAGTAGCTTACTCCTTGCTATATCTAACATCACGGATCTTTCCTCTGATCATACCCCAGTAAAGCTAGTCATTGATGGTGTAACAAATCAAATCCCAATAAGATCTTCCTTAACCTCAAGCCCAATAAACTGGACCCACTACAAAAAGTACTTAAGCGACAATACAAAATTAGGCATACCTCTTAAAACTGCCAATGACCTCGAGTAAGCTTTTGTCACATTTGTAGAAATGATCCAATCCGCTTCTAAGCTGTCCTCGCGCCCATGTAACAACTATTTCACCATATCGAAAACAATTCTAGACAAATACCCACTCCCAGGCCACATCAATGTACTCATAAGACAAAAAAGAAAAGCTCGTGTCAAATGGCAAATCACAGGTTACCCTAACGATAAGCGGATCTTCAATAACCTAACCAACAAACTTAAAAGGCAACTCCAAAATCACAAAAATCAATCCTATGACAACTACATCTCAAACCTAAATCCAACTAACGGCTCGCTTTGGAAAGCAACCAAAAAATCCTTAGACACATCGAACCCACTCCTCCAATCCGTCGCCCCGATAACTCTAAAATCACTGACGACGATGAAAAGTCCAACGTTTTTGCCGAACACCTTGCTACAGTTTTTAAACCAAACACTATACAAACTAATCCCCAGCACTCTGCCAGAGTGTTTGAGTTCTTAGATAGTCCACTACCAGTTTCTATGTCTGCAAAACCCACTACCCCAAATGAAGTTTTCTTCTTTATAAAACATTTAAAGTCTGGCAAAGCTCCCGGTCATGATTTGATAACTACCCCACTTTTAAAACAACTACCTCCCAAACCAATAATACTTTTATCATATAAATTCAATTCTATACTCCGTTTTTCTTACATGACATCTATCTGGAAACATGCTCAAGTAATACTCATCCACAAATCAGTCAAACCTCTCGAAAACCCATCCTTTTACAAGTATAAACATTGCCAAAACATCGGTTTATTTATATTATTAANGCATTGAAAGGAGATCCTGAAATCGAAAGGTTATAACGAGCCTTATGAAATATACTGGCTCGATATAACACTTCAATTCTAACATCTTTCATTCTATAATGTTCAAATATCATAGTCCTAAATACAACAAAAGGGTCGATTATACAAATTCCAAACACTATATCTAACTATAATTCGATACTTAATTTATTAAAATACAATAAACAGACATATTGATAGCTTATCATTAAATGTATGTGAACCCTGATATTAAAATGCTAAAACAACGCATATTTTTCAATTCGTTCAATTTAAACAAGTAAATTATTATATGCTATTATTGATCTAAAATGATAAAGTCTATTATAAAGAAAAAGTTAAATATATACTCAACAAAATGAAATAGAATTCCGAAAATTGAACATGATGAAAATTCCAATACGAGATGATTTAAAATGCTCTATGTTTACTTGATGCGAAGTAGTTTTCATTGAACTGCTTGTAGATCACAATTTGTTTAGGTTCGTACACTTTTAATGAATTGACATATTCAAAATCTGTAAGAAAAAACAAAATTAGGATAAATCTAATATAAAGAGCACATGTAAATTATACAAATATTAATGATTTTACGGGTTTAGAAAAAATAAACAGTCAACTTGATAAAAAATTATCAAAAAATAAATTACTTAGAGAGCTGNTGATGCGAAGTAGTTTCATTGAACTGCTTGTAGATCACAATTTGTTTAGGTTCGTACACTTTTAATGAATTGACATATTCAAAATCTGAAAGAAAAAACAAAATTAGAATAAATCTAATATAAGGAGCACATGTAAATTATACAAATATTAATAATTTCACAATGTTTAGAAATTTACACATTGATTTTACGGTTTTAGAAAAAATAAACAGTCAACTTGATAAAAAATTATCAAAAAATAAATTACTTAGAGAGCTGTAGACGATCTATAATTGCATAAANTGACATATTCAAAATCTGAAAGAAAAAACAAAATTAGAATAAATCTAATATAAGGAGCACATGTAAATTATACAAATATTAATAATTTCACAATGTTTAGATATTTACACATTGATTTTACGGTTTTAGAAAAAATAAACAGTCAACTTGATAAAAAATGATCAAAAAAAAAATTACTTAGAGAGCTTTAGACGGTCTATAATTGCATAATGAGCAATTAGTTGATAAAAAATTGCATAAAAAATCTTCAAATTGACAGGTTATTTCCAGCATATGAATTATACACTACAGAGATAACCCTTTAATTTGAAGATCANTACAGTCAACTTGATAAAAAACTTATCAAAAAATAAATTACTTAGAGTGCTGAAGACGGTCTATAATTGCATAAAGTGCAATTATTTGATAGAAGATTGTATAAAATATCCTCAAATTGACAGGTTATTTCCAGCATTTGATTTATACCCGCCACAGATAACCCTTCAATTTGTAGATCAATTAATCTAATTGTACACATGTTGTTCTTTTCAAAACAGAGGATATGTTGTTTCTTCCATTATCATATAGTCATTACATTATAAATTGCGTAAATTGTGATATAATTTAATGCATACCCGGATTAGTGGTTACAAAACAACAGTTATAGATTGAGATTAAAAGAAAATCTTTAAATTCATAAAGCTAGTAAATATTAAAAACATTTATGGACCTAGGTAACATTTCTATTGTAGTAGTCAAACATTAAATTTACAGTGATAAACATTTACCTTAATGTCAATATGGCTATGTACAATTAAGAATGGTACAAATTATCATTTGAGTGTTGGATGCATTGAAATGAGATCATGAAATCGAAAGGTTATAACGAGCCTAATGAAATATACTGGCTCGATATAACACTTCAATTCCAACATCTTTCATTCTATAATGTTCATATATCATAGTCCTAAATACAAAAAGGGGTCGATTATATAAATTCCAAACACTATATCTAACTTAAATTCAATTTTTTTTATATTAAAATACAATAAAAAANTGAGTGTTGGATGCATTGAAAGGAGATCCTGAAATCGAAAGGTTATAACGAGCCTAATGAAATATACTGGCTCGATATAACACTTCAATTCTAACATCTATCATTCTATAATGTTCAAATATCATAGTCCTAAATTCAACAAAGGGGTAGATTATACAAATTCCAAACACTATATCTCACTATAATTCGATACTTAATTTATTAAATCACAATAAACAGACATATTGATAGCTTATCATTAAATGTATGTGAACCCTGATATTAAAATGCTAAAACAACGCATAATTTTCAATTTGTTCAAGTTAAACAAGTAAATTATTATAATCTATTATTGATCTAAAATGATAAAGTCTATTATAAAGAAAAAGTTAAATATATACTCAACAGGATGAAATAGAATTCCGAAAATTGAACATGATGAAAATTCCAAAACGAGATGATTCAAAATGCTCTATGTTTACTTGATGCGAAGTAGTTTCATTGAACTGCTTGTAGATCACAATTTGTTTAGGTTCGTACACTTTTAATGAATTGACATATTCAAAATCTGAAAGAAAAAACAAAATTAGAATAAATCTAATATAAGGAGCACATGTAAATTATACAAATATTAATAATTTCACAATGTTTAGAAATTTACACATTGATTTTACGGTTTTAGAAAAAATAAACAGTCAACTTGATAAAAAATTATCAAAAAATAAATTACTTAGAGAGCTGTAGACGATCTTTAATTGCATAAAGAGCAATTAGTTGATAGAAATTTGCATACAAAATCTTCAAATTGACAGATTATTTCCTGCATATGAATTATACACTACAGAGATAACCCTTTAATTTGAAGATCAATTATTTTAATTGTACACATGTTTTTCTTTTTAAAACAGAGGATATGTTGTTTCTTCCATTATCATATAGTCTTTACATTATAAATTGGGTAAATTGTGATAAAATTTAATGCATACCCGCATAAGTGGTTAAAAAACAACAGTTATAGATTGAGATTGAAAGAAACTCTTTAAATTCATAAAGCTAGTAAATATTAAAGACAAAATTCTAAAACGAGATGATTCAAAATGCTCTATGTTTACTTGATGCGAAGTAGTTTCATTGAACTGCTTGTAGATCACAATTTGTTTAGGTTCGTACACTTTTAATGAATTGACATATTCAAAATCTGAAAGAAAAAACAAAATTAGAATAAATCTAATATAAGGAGCACATGTAAATTATACAAATATTAATAATTTCACAATGTTTAGAAATTTACACATTGATTTTACGGTTTTAGAAAAAAATAAACAGTCAACTTGATAAAAAATGATCAAAAAAAAAATTACTTAGAGAGCTTTAGACGGTCTATAATTGCATAAAGAGCAATTAGTTGATAAAAAATTGCATAAAAAATCTTCAAATTGACAGGTTATTTCCAGCATATGAATTATACACTACAGAGATAACCCTTTAATTTGATGATCAATTATTTTAATTGTACACATGTTGTTCTTTTCAAAACAGAGGATATGTTGTTTCTTCCATTATAATATAGTCTTTACATTATAAATTGGGTAAATTGTGAAAAAATTTAATGCATACCCGCATTAGTGGTTACAAAACAACAGTTATAGATTGAGATTGAAAGAAAATCTTTAAATTCATAAAGCTAGTAAATATTAAAGACATTTATGGACCTAGGTAACATTTCTATTGTAGTAGTCAAACATTCAATTTTCAGTGATAAGCATTTACCTTAATGTCAATATAGCTATGTACAATTAATTATGGTACAAATTATCATTTGAGTGTTGGATGCATTGAAAGGAGATCCTGAAATCGAAAGGTTATAACGAGCCTAATGAAATATACTGGCTCGATATAACACTTCAATTCTAACATCTATCATTCTATAATGTTCAAATATCATAGTCCTAAATTCAACAAAGGGGTAGATTATACAAATTCCAAACACTATATCTCACTATAATTCGATACTTAATTTATTCAAATATCATAGTCCTAAATTCAACAAAGGGGTAGATTATACAAATTCCAAACACTATATCTCACTATAATTCGATACTCAATTTATTAAAATACAATAAACAGACATATTGATAGCTTATCATTAAATGTATGTGAACCCTGATATTAAAATGCTAAAACAACGCATAATTTTCAATTTGTTCAAGTTAAACAAGTAAATTATTATAATCTATTATTGATCTAAAATGATAAAGTCTATTATAAAGAAAAGGATGAAATAAAATTACTCAACAGGATGAAATAAAATTCCTAAAATTGAACATGATGAAAATTCTAAAACGAGATGAATTCTAAAACGAGATGATTCAAAATGCTCTATGTTTACTTGATGCGAAATAGTTTCATTGAACTGCTTGTAGATCACAATTTGTTTAGGTTCGTAAACTTTTAATGAATTTCGTNAACGCATAATTTTCAATTTGTTCAAGTTAAACAAGTAAATTATTATAAGCTATTATTGATCTAAAATGATAAAGTCTATTATAAAGAAAAAGTTAAATATATACTCAACAGGATGAAATAGAATTCCGAAAATTGAACATGATGAAAATTCCAAAACGAGATGATTCAAAATGCTCTATGTTTACTTGATGCGAAGTAGTTTCATTGAACTGCTTGTAGATCACAATTTGTTTAGGTTCGTACACTTTTAATGAATAGACATATTCAAAATCTGAAAGAAAAAACAAAATTAGAATAAATCTAATATAAGGAGCACATGTAAATTATACAAATATAAATAATTTCACAATGTTTAGAAATTTACACATTGATTTTACGGTTTTAGAAAAAATAAACAGTCAACTTGATAAAAAATGATCAAAAAATAAATTACTTAGAGAGCTTTAGACGGTCTATAATTGCATAAAGAGCAATTAGTTGATAAAAAATTGCATAAAAAATCTTCAAATTGACAGGTTATTTCCAGCATATGAATTATACACTACAGAGATAACCCTTTAATTTGATGATCAATTATTTTAATTGTACACATGTTGTTCTTTTCAAAACAGAGGATATGTTGTTTCTTCCATTATCATATAGTCTTTACATTATAAATTGGGTAAATTGTGATAAAATTTAATGCATACCCGCATTAGTGGTTACAAAACAACAGTTATAGATTGAGATTGAAAGAAACTCTTTAAATTCATAAAGCTAGTAAATATTAAAGACATTTATGGACCTAGGTAACATTTCTATTGTAGTAGTCAAACATTCAATTTTCAGTGATAAGCATTTACCTTAATGTCAATATAGCTATGTACAATTAATTATGGTACAAATTATCATTTGAGTGTTGGATGCATTGAAAGGAGATCCTGAAATCGAAAGGTTATAACGAGCCTAATGAAATATACTGGCTCGATATAACACTTCAATTCTAACATCTTTCATTCTATAATGTTCAAATATCATAGTCCTAAATACAACAAAGGGGTCGATTATACAAATTCCAAACACTATATCTAACTATAATTCGATACTTAATTTATTAAAATACAATAAACAGACATATTGATAGCTTATCATTAAATGTATGTGAACCCTGATATTAAAATGCTAAAACAACGCATAATTTTCAATTTGTTCAATTTAAACAAGTAAATTATTATAAGCTATTATTGATCTAAAATGATAAAGTCTATTATAAAGAAAAAGTTAAATATATACTCAACAGGATGAAATAGAATTCCGAAAATTGAACATGATGAAAAAATGATCAAAAAATAAATTACTTAGAGAGCTTTAGACGGTCTATAATTGCATAAAGAGCAATTAGTTGATAAAAAATTGCATAAAAAATCTTCAAATTGACAGGTTATTTCCAGCATATGAATTATACACTACAGAGATAACCCTTTAATTTGAAGATCAATTATTTTAATTGTACACAAGTTTTTCTTTTTAAAACAGAGGATATGTTGTTTCTTCCATTATCATATAGTCTTTACATTATAAATTGGGTAAATTGTGATAAAATTTAATGCATACCCGCATTAGTGGTTACAAAACAACAGTTATAGATTGAGATTGAAAGAAACTCTTTAAATTCATAAAGCTAGTAAATATTAAAGACATTTATGGACCTAGGTAACATTTCTATTGTAGTAGTCAAACATTCAATTTTCAGTGATAAGCATTTACCTTAATGTCAATATGGCTATGTACAATTAATAATGGTACAAATTATCATTTGAGTGTTGGATGCATTGAAAGGAGATCCTGAAATCGAAAGGTTATAACGAGCCTAATGAAATATACTGGCTCGATATAACACTTCAATTCTAACATCTTGCAATCAATCATGTTCAAAAATCATAGTCCTAAATACAACAAAGGGGTAGATTATACAAATTCCAAACACTATATCTAACTATAATTCGATACTTAATTTATTAAAATACAATAAACAGACATATTGATAGCTTATCATTAAATGTATGTGAACCCTGATATTAAAATGCTAAAACAACGCATAATTTTCAATTTGTTCAAGTTAAACAAGTAAATTATTATAAGCTATTATTGATCTAAAATGATAAAGTCTATTATAAAGAAAAAGTTAAATATATACTCAACAGGATGAAATAGAATTCCGAAAATTGAACATGATGAAAATTCCAAAACGAGATGATTCAAAATGCTCTATGTTTACTTGATGCGAAGTAGTTTCATTGAACTGCTTGTAGATCACAATTTGTTTAGGTTCGTACACTTTTAATGAATTGACATATTCAAAATCTGAAAGAAAAAACAAAATTAGAATAAATCTAATATAAGGAGCACATGTAAATTATACAAATATAAATAATTTCACAATGTTTAGAAATTTACACATTGATTTTACGGTTTTAGAAAAAATAAACAGTCAACATGATAAAAAATTATAAAAAAATAAATTACTTAGATAGCTGTAGACGATCTTTAATTGCATAAAGAGCAATTAGTTGATAAAAAATTGCATAAAAAATCTTCAAATTGACAGGTTATTTTCAGCATATGAATTATACACTACAGAGATAACCCTTTAATTTGAAGATCAATTATTTTAATTGTACACATGTTTTTCTTTTTAAAACAGAGGATATGTTGTTTCTTCCATTATCATATAGTCTTTACATTATAANCATAAAAAATCTTCAATTGACAGAATATTTCCAGCATATGAATTATACACAACAGAGATAACCCTTCAATTTGAAGATCAATTAATCTAATTGTACACATGTTGTTCTTTTCAAAACAGATGATATGTTGTTTCTTCCATTATCATATAGTCTTTACATTAAAAATTGGGTAAATTGTGATAAAATTTAATGCATACCCGCATAAGTGGTTACAAAACAACAGTTTTAGATTGAGATTGAAAGAAACTCTTTAAATTCATAAAGCTAGTAAATATTAAAGATATTTATCGACCTAGGTAACATTTCTATTGTAGTAGTCAAACATTAAATTTACAGTGATAAACATTTACCTTAATGTCAATATNATTTAATGCATACCCGCATTAGTGGTTACAAAACAACAGTTATAGATTGAGATTGAAAGAAACTTTTTAAATTCATAAAGCTAGTAAATATTAAAGACATTTATGGACCTAGGTAACATTTTTTTTGTAGTAGTCAAACATTCAATTTACAGTGATAAGCATTTACCTTAATGTCAATATGGCTATGTACAATTAATAATAGTACAAATTATCATTTGAGTGTTGGATGCATTGAAAGGAGATCCTGAAATCGAAAGGTTATAACGAGCCTTATGAAATATACTGGCTCGATATAACACTTCAATTCTAACATCTTTCATTCTATAATGTTCAAATATCATAGTCCTAAATACAACAAAAGGGTAGATTATACAAATTCCAAACACTATATCTAACTATAATTCGATACTTAATTTATTAAAATACAATAAACAGACATATTGATAGCTTATCATTAAATGTATGTGAACCCTGATATTAAAATGCTAAAACAACGCATAATTTTCAATTTGTTCAATTTAAACAAGTAAATTATTATAAGCTATTATTGATCTAAAATGATAAAGTCTATTATAAAGAAAAAGTTAAATATATACTCAACAGGATGAAATAGAATTCCGAAAATTGAACATGATGAAAATTCCAAAACGAGATGATTCAAAATGCTCTATGTTTACTTGATGCGAAGTAGTTTCATTGAACTGCTTGTAGATCACAATTTGTTTAGGTTCGTACACTTTTAATGAATTGACATATTCAAAATCTGAAAGAAAAAACAAAATTAGAATAAATCTAATTTAAGGAGCACATGTAAATTATACAAATATTAATAATTTCACAATGTTTAGAAATTTACACATTGATTTTACGGTTTTAGAAAAAATAAACAGTCAACTTGATAAAAAATGATCAAAAAATAAATTACTTAGAGAGCTTTAGACGGTCTATAATTGCATAAAGAGCAATTAGTTGATAAAAAATTGCATAAAAAATCTTCAAATTGACAGGTTATTTCCAGCATATGAATTATACACTACAGAGATAACCCTTTAATTTGAAGATCAATTATTTTAATTGTACACATGTTGTTCTTTTCAAAACAGAGGATATGTTGTTTCTTCCATTATCATATAGTCTTTACATTATAAATTGGGTAAATTGTGATAAAATTTAATGCATACCCGCATTAGTGGTTACAAAACAACAGTTATAGATTGAGATTGAAAGAAACTCTTTAAATTCATAAAGCTAGTAAATATTAAAGACATTTATGGACCTAGGTAACATTTCTATTGTAGTAGTCAAACATTCAATTTTCAGTGATAAGCATTTACCTTAATGTCAATATGGCTATGTACAATTAATAATGGTACAAATTATCATTTGAGTGTTGGATGCATTGAAAGGAGATCCTGAAATCGAAAGGTTATAACGAGCCTAATGAAATATACTGGCTCGATATAACACTTCAATTCTAACATCTTTCATTCTATAATGTTCAAATATCATAGTCCTAAATACAACAAAGGGGTA